GTTGCACGTCCATGTAGTGGAAGACGTTAACGTGGGTTACTCTTGTGTGAGATCATAACATGTTACTGATTGTGTAATCCTTGTAGGAGATCATAAACTACCCCACCGTTCGTATGATCCAGCATTTGAAATGTCGCCGTATCAAAGAGAGAGATCTCGCGTTCGAGTCTCATATGTCAGGCTTCGTCTACAAGGTTCGTGTTGCTGGGAAGACACTCATTAAGAAGGAGATTCCAGGACCAGATACGGTGGATGAATTTCTCTACGAAGTCAACGCTCTTAACTCCCTACGCTTCTCCCAAAACGTCATAGAATTCTACGGTGTGGTGGTTGACGATGAGGACGAGATGGTTAAGGGCCTGCTCATCAATTACGCGGAAAAGGGTGCGCTCATCGACCTTATTTACGATTCTCAAGAGGATTGTAATATCCTCCCGTGGTCCCTTCGAGAGAAGTGGGCGAGGCAGATCGTTCAGGGGTTGTCGGACGTTCACGAAGCCGGTTTTGTACAGGGTGACCTTACGCTCTCTAACATCGTCATCGACTATGAAGACAATGCAAAGATAATAGACATCAACAGACGAGGTTGCCCAGTGGGCTGGGAGCCTCCGGAGGCAACTCCACTTATCGATAGCAACCAGCGGATATCGATGTATATCGGTGTAAAATCTGACCTCTATCAGTTGGGGATGGTATTGTGGTCACTCGCGACGTTGGAGGACGAGCCGGAAGCGCATCGACGACCGCTCCGATTGGCTTCCGAAATCGATGTCCCGGATTGGTATCGCATGATGGTGGGGTATTGCTTGCACGAGGATCCACGTGTCCGACTTCAGGCCTCCGTACTACTTAGGCTGTTTCCCCAGCCCATATACGACAACGACGACGACGACTATGACAGGCATGATCTACCCTCGATTTCCGTCGACGACGGCAATTCTCTACGGGAATATACGGTGGACGGATATGAAGAAAACGGTCATCCGCACATCAAACCGGCTCAGCCCCGGGATGTCTGGCCATACACTCCATTCGGTAGTACACACGTTGCACCAACAAACTTCTCCGTCGATCAATACTATCCGTCAAGGGGACGATCCCCGGCCAGGTCACCACCAAGCAACCACGACATGTATAGCCCGCCATACACGGAGCGGCGCGAAACGTGGCCCACTAATTTCATGGGCCCGTATACCGACGACTTGGAACTAGGACAGGAGATTGCCGAGACTCCCAGGAGCGTGCAGTCGCCGGAAGAAATAATTGCGAAAGTGCAACAGGACCTAGAGGATGAACAGGCTCAGGCGACTGGGAGCGAAAACCAGGTGAAGGTACCCACGTTAGTAGCTGGCGTAGGTAGTGCGCTTAGGATTAACGGTGGGAATACCGAGGGAGCCTTACCTCTACCTTACAAAGGTACAGCAACCGTTACTTCCGGTGACGTCCATACAACAGGTATATTAAGTGAAGAGAGGGACTTAGAAAATCCGCAATTCGACTCCAGAGGTGGCGTTCCGAGGCAGCCCGGTGTGGCACAACCCAAGGAACCAGAGGGCTTGCGTACAGCCGAGATTTCGGATTATGCCCAAATTGAAGAAGCCACTCGGCCGCCTACGGATGGAGACAGAGAAACCGGATCGCTATACAATTATACACACGACAGAGGAGACATATTACCGCGATCAACGGCAGCGTCACCTTCGAGACCAGCCGAGTCGCCTCCAGACTTGCCAACTGATTTGACGGGTGTCGGCTCCAAATACGAGCATGACGAAATTCGAAAACTAACCTTAGACGATGATTTAGGTCATCCTACGACAGCTACAGCTACAGCAACAGATGTGACGACTTAAGCCTGAGAAGGTTATATTGAGATGCTTACAACCTTGCGGGTAGCTGTTCATGTACATAAAACATACAGAACGGCGCGAGGAGTTTTGCATTGCATATGCAATTTTTGGAGGACTTTTTCTGGAATATCCGGGTGTCACGAATGGTGGACCATACTTTCTACGTTAGGGGCAACGGCGAGGTGGGCGAAAATTTTGTTTTTTTTGTTTTGTACAATAGAGGCAGCACATCATTACCACAACGTTTGTTTTAGCTTGACGATACGATATTTAATGTATGAGGCACAATGAATGGATATGAAGTCGAAATGGCTATTTGAAGATGGGAGGGCTGGATAAGAGATAGAGGTTCCCGGATCTTACATGTTCTACATACGTTACGCTAGGTAATGAAATATATGTCCCCTGAGAAAATAAGGGATTAGCGTGTTTTGGCAAACTCGGTCGAGTGTGTATCTACGTACGTGGTAGTGCTGTGTCGAATCGGTATCGGGTCTGTATGCGTTGACTATATAGGCGAGTAAGTATACGCAGGTTCATGATTGTATACTTGGCTAATAGATGTTGAAGGTAGACACATCATACCGGTGAGAGCGATGGATGGATGGAGTAAGGCGTGGTCTGATGGTGGTACGAGATAAGAGTCTCGATGAGTGGTGAGCGAGCTTCTTGAGGTTTGGAGAGGGAACTTGCGATACACATACGTACGTACGTATGTATGTATGTACGGGTGCTGGGCGATTGTATTAGTGGTTCGGTTGTAAAGCCGTGAATCGGCTTTTCGATGCCTCTTATTTCATCTTAGTATGTAGGTAGGTATGTAGTTGTGTATCGTGGCGTGGGCTTGGATACCTATTTGGCGGTTTGGGGACGGAGATGGGATGGGATGGGATGGCGGGTTATCTTTATTTCGGGTTGAGCGTGGTTCTGTTCTATGTGGGATGGGTTTTGGGAGGTGACTGGACTGCTGGGTTGATGAGGCAGAATGGAGTCAAGATAAGTGCCTAACAAGGGGAATACCTTTGTAAAAGGTTCTCTTAAGATATATAGAGCAGAAAAACTACCAGAATAATACTAAGATAAAATAGACTCTAAATCTTATTCTGATATAGTCATAAAGATATGCTCGAAGATTTCGCTGAGTTAGGTGGATAGGAAAGTGAGCATTTGGTATGTTAGTACTTACAAAATCGGCACTTTTTTTTGACGCTATTCTGTGAGGGCTGTGAATTCTTAGAGTCGAGACATAGTGCATTGTGAGTGAATCATGTGATCAGGTAGGTATGTTGTCAGCTTGCCTTATGTAGGTGGATTACATAGGTTCTCAGATAGAAAGCAACGAGACCAGTAAAATATGATGTCACCTAAATTTGCCAAATCACTTTATTCTCATGAGGCCTGTCATGGTTACGAGCCTACAACCCTACCTCTTGCTATTCTATGACGAATACCTTTCGAGCTCAATAATTAATTACTATGATCCGCTATCATATACAGAGCATTTTCACTTCCTTTTAATGAATGACATAAGCAGCTCTAGCCAATCGGGTGTTATGAATATTGGATTGTAATGTGCTGCCATTTTAGGAGAGGAGGCATTACTATGGATTACTACGGACTTGTTAGTCATAGTCGGATATCTTGCTTAAACCAGCCACCAACTTCATGTTAACTTTCGACTTACTAGAGCATACGAATATATCTTAATTATGATTTGTATAACATAGATCGAAGCTACTCATCAGCTTAGCCGTTCATATATCGATCAAATACCTATGATGGGATGTAAAGGAAAGAGGCTCAGCAAGATCGATGGAGCCTTAGATACCTATGGGGCGCATAACGCGGAAAGTGGCGTTTTCCCCTTGGTTATCCAATCAATTTCATCGAGGGGATTTTAAGGTTGTTCTAGAAGATGTGGGACATCGTGACTATCTTTAGCCGATTAGATTTCAAGATTCCTCTTTCCCGGCACCCCACTATGTACGTACGGACTTGTTTGTTGGGGAGACTGGGAGAGTGATGTGCCAGTGTGCACGGCCAAACGGTCTAAGGGGATCTACATAATGTGGGGAACGTGGTTACAACATGCAAGTTGGTAGAATCTATGATACACACCTTAGGTAAATATCTATCAATGATTCATCCATCTAGAGAATGAATAAACTTGCCTCGGCTCATAGTTGCGGGATCATTGTAGGTACTGTAGTCTCGACTGGTGATAGGTACCTATTCGAGAGCTTAATAAACCAATGCCGACTACCCGGATTTCGCTCGCCGGGTACACTGTGGCACTTGAAGGATTGGCAAGTGAAGGATTGATTGGCGTAGCCCTGCGGAAGGGGCTGAAGAGGGGCTTACGTCAAAGAGTTTTCCGTGTTACCTAAAAATTCCGAGTTTATGCAAGGGAAAACTAATATTTATCAAATTTGGTTTATGCATTTTTACACTGCTTACGTGGTGGATATGTTAGTTGGTATTTATAATAAATCGTGATATGCCTAATGTAAGAAAACACGGCTTGAGGACGTGTAACCGAGGTTGGATACGAATGCGAATGGCACTTTTGTCTGGAAAATTATTTTGTTGTTGGCACAGACGATCGTAGAATATGTTGTAAGATCCACGTTGTGATACATGGACATATTGTACTTAGGTTCGGGTGGTTAAACCTTGGAACAGGTGGGACATATAAAATATCACCAAAAGCGGAAAGACCCTTGAACTTTTGTGGCGTCTGATTGGATATCGTTCCTTGCGGCTTCGAAACCGCCACAATGGTCACTTCCCCAACAATTCAACAAATTTCAGACAGCTTTCAAAAAGAACACACGAGATGGAAGTTGCCCGCAGAAGGAATGTGCAACAACCTGGGTAGCAGTTGAATCTGTAAGGTACTTTGGCAGCTTTGTGTTTTTATCGCCCCGCGCGCATGTAACAGCTTTTCCCCCCCCTTCCCACCACCACCTTCAACAACCCCAGCACATTCTCCTTCGCCTATCAGATCAAGCAGAATTCAAGCAGGAAGAGAAAACAGGATACGTACATGCAGCAGACTTCGTAACATAATCGTCACTTTTACACTACAATTTCCTTTGCTTCCAAGTACGTACATACTGGTTTCCACCGTCTTCGTTATAAAAGTGGTGACTTTGTTTCTTATTCCTAATTCATAGCAATAAAACGCCTTTTTTTTTTTTTTTTTTTTTTTTTTGCTTAACAGTTGAGTAAATCGTATAAGCCATCGGCCGACTATCAGACGTTCCAGTCGAATCATTTTATTCCAACAAGCACATTCTTTGATCAACAAACTTAAGAAGGCTGCAGTTAATGCCGTTAGCGCTCACACCGCTTTGAGTTCCAGCAGTTACAGATCAGGTACGAGTTAGAGATAAAAGTTCTTAGTCGGTACCCGACTCAACCTAGATTCACCCATCTAGACACGTCCAACTAGGTCCGACTAGGTCTCAAATACTTTCCGTATACATTTCCGCCACCTGTCCACCCGTCCACCCGGCTCCAGGGGTTCAAGGTTGTACGTCCCACCGATTGGTCCCCATATCCACTTGTACCTACATCCAATACTACATGCACGGCCTTTTACACTCTAACATTCCCACCCCGATAATAAATATATATCTTTTTTAAACCTCCCACATCTTTTCTTCCATTCCTTCTTTTTAACCTCGTCGCTCACCCATCCGAGACCCCTTTCACCGATCTCCGAGGGCCTTGCTGATTCAACTCTTCCATCTCCAGCACCCGTCGATTCTCAGCCATGGCTTCTGCCACGACGGATGCCTCAGGGCCCGTTGCCGCCTCGGCGTTTCCTGATGGCACCAAGGACTACAAACCGTTGCGGTCGTCTAAGTATGACTTGAAGAAACCGCACATTTCCGAGCTCCCTTTGACCTGGAGCAACTGGTACAAGCACGTCAACTGGCTTAACACTACCTTCATCCTATTCATTCCCTTAGCTGGGTTGATCAGCACATACTGGATTGATCTCCAGTTGAAGACGGCTCTCTTCGCCATCTTCTACTATTTCAATGCCGGCCTCGGTATCACAGCTGGTACGTTTGGATAACATCACGTTCCGTCTAATTACCGAAATACTAATATCTAGGCAGGATATCACCGACTTTGGGCTCACAGTTCGTTCAGGGCTTCGCTCCTTATCAAGATTTACCTGGCTGCTATGGGAGCTGCCGCTGTACAAGGTTCTATTAGGTGGTGGTCAAGGGGTCACCGTGCTCACCACCGTTATACGGATACCGAGAAGGATCCTTACTCCGTCCGCAAAGGCCTCCTATACTCTCACATCGGCTGGATGGTCATGAAGCAGAACCCTAAGCGAATTGGCCGAACCGATATCTCCGACCTGAATGACGACCCGGTTGTCGTCTGGCAGCACAAGCATTACATCAAGTCTGTCATCACAATGTCTCTCGTTCTCCCGACTATGGTCTGTGGTCTTGGTTGGGGTGACTGGTGGGGTGGATTCATCTACGCTGGTATCATCCGAATCTTTTTCATCCAGCAGGCTACTTTCTGTGTCAACTCTCTCGCCCATTGGCTCGGTGACCAGCCTTTCGATGACCGCAACTCTCCTCGTGACCATGTCATCACCGCGCTTGTCACACTTGGAGAGGGATACCACAACTTCCACCACGAGTTCCCGTCTGACTACCGCAACGCTATTGAGTGGTGGCAGTATGATCCGACCAAGTGGAGCATCTGGGCTTGGAAGAAGCTGGGCCTTGCCTACAACCTGAAGACATTCCGCCAGAACGAAATCGAGAAGGGTCGTCTCCAACAGATGCAGAAGAAGCTCGACCAGAAGCGATCGAGGTTGGACTGGGGTGTTCCTCTAGAGCAGCTACCTGTTATAGACTGGGATGACTACGTTAGCGAGTCCAAGAACGGCAAGGCTCTGGTCGCCGTTGCTGGTGTTATCCACGACGTCACCGATTTCATCAAGGACCACCCTGGTGGCAAGGCTCTTATCTCATCTGCCATTGGAAAGGACGCCACTGCTATCTTCAACGGTGGTGTCTATGACCATTCGAATGCTGCCCATAACCTTCTGTCCACTATGCGTGTCGGTGTTCTTCGAGGAGGCTGTGAAGTCGAGATCTGGAAGAAGGCACACATGGAGAAGGAAGGTGCCTTCGTTACCGACTCATCTGGCCGACGAATTGTCCGTGCCGGTGACCAAGTCACGAGAATCTCTCAGCCTCTTGCCGGTGCTAATGCGGCTTAAACGGTTAATAGAGTTGAAGATAGGTTCGGGTCGTTTCGAACTGGGAAGGCTGTAATACTGGAGATGATAATGAAATATTGCAAGTGCCGCTTTTCCTGGTAGTCGAAGGATGACAACCTTGGTTAAAAATTTATGTACATAAAAAGGCTATGCGGTATAAGCATGTTGAGGCAACTCGTCCTCCGGCGTTTAGAGGAAATCGGTGAAAAGGGGCTCACTACTATGCAATTCGGTGGGCGTTGGCGCATCACTTACGACAGACTGAATGATTACAAGTTTGGACTGATATGAGAAAAAGACCTCTAGCATAAATCAAACATGACGTATTGATTTAGACTTGAAATACTTTGATTGACTAGTGATATTGTCTAGTTTGAGCTTGATGCTTTGCGATAGCTTATAATAATGTACTGGTTATTAAGTGCTAATGTGTAGGAGAGTATTGTATGTTATAGAACGATGTACCTACTTGGGTTTTTATTGTACACATTGAGATGCTGAGCCTATAATGCATATTCATAGAAGGATGTGAATCAAGGCACCACAAATATCGAGATATCTTGCCCTCTTCTCACTCCTTCGAGATCTGGGATAAACCTGATAATTCTAAGACTAGGTACTGTAGGAAGGAGCAATGATGATAAGGGCATATATAAGATTTCCACCACTTGAAAAGTGGAGCAGTAGAATCTTTACAATACAACATTCTACCTCCTAATATTTCAGTACCTACATTAAATAGAGGGAGGATATATTGTAAGGTGTTTTAATATACTATACTTTACCTTATCTTTAAGCCTTTGCTTATACATACATAACTACATATATAAGGCGTATAGTATACAAGATAGAAACTGACCGGCTAACTAGCTCCCCTACGTACTCGTTTACGATACCTTACCCCTTCCCCTCTAGTTACAGATAATAAACAAGATATCCAGAATGTTACTAATTCATATCTTTCGTGCCTATCTATGCCTTCTGGCTCGCACCTGGTTATGTACTTGATCGTGCATGCATGCCATAGGTACATACATACATACATGTGATGCCCGCATATACACGTGCATACCTACCTACATACATGCCTCGGTATCTACAGTAGTATTGAAACAACACGCGTATCTAACGTGGCATAGGTATATATTTACATGTAGGTAGCTACATACGCAGCCATGTGAGGGGAAACTAAGACCTTAGGTAAGGTAAGGTAAAACAAACTAATCCTTTGCTCCCCTCGACCGAGCTGGGCTTAGCTACCTAGGCAGGCTGTCCCCCAACGGATGGGGTGGGAAAGCCTCGTGGCTAGATTTTGCATACACTATGTAATAACTACGAAGCCACTTTCCAGCCAGTCGAGAAGAGATCGTAGATGAGGCGTTATTACGATGATATTAGAAATATCAGGTTTAGAAAAGCATTCGATTATACGAGCTAGCTACCCTAGAACAGCTTGAGTAGCCTAGTCTAGATAAAAGTCACGACTGACCAGTTATAACCACGAAAGAAACGGCATCGTACGCACACACGCACGCACGCAATGCAATAATAATAAAAGAGAGCCGTGGGCTCTATCGTGTAATTCATTCGATCTATCCGGGAAGACAAAGCCAAGCCAAGCCAAGCCCCCAGTCTGGACAACCGCCAGGTTCTGGTAGGTTCTGGTATCGAGCGACGAGGTTGCAAAGTACAACCTCATCCGCAAATAGTAATAGAAGTGACATACATTAATTAACGTGTCGGCGTGACCTGTTCCAACGTAAAACCGTCCTTTAACGCATTCCACCGTCTCTCTGCTCCGTTTCAAAGGGAGTTTTGTTTCTTCTGACCCATACACCGTCTCGCGAGAGTAAGTTTTTGATCTTTGAATTTGACCCTTTGTATTTGAGGGCAATCCCTCGTAAGTCGTTAGCAACATGGTGAGTTAACTTGCTCGCCAGCAATGGTTCTCGTACAGCCAAATGTGACCAAAACACCGTGCAAATGCAATGTAGATAGTTGCCCCTTTAAAGTATTGCCAAGAACATGAAAACGCCATTATAACTACGCCTTTCAGTAAGTAAATATAAGGCGTTAGTGAAGTCCTGTAAGAACAGGCAAGTCATTATTTGAAAAGGCTGCGTAGATCCATGAGCTTTTGCTTCGCCGCCTCTGCCTTATCTATAACCCGGTTTCTGTCCATGCTAAGGCTTGCGAGCATTTTCTTCTTCTCCTGAAGCTCGAGCATTTTCTCCTCGATGCTGTTTCGCATGATATATCTAACCGTGCGTACGGGTCTCTTCTGACCGAGTCGGTGGACACGGTCGACAGCTTGTGCTTCTGCTGCCGGGTTGTATTGAGGCTCCATCACGTAGACGTAGTTCCCTGAAGTAAGATTCAGGCCGAGGCCACCGGCCATGATGGATACAAGTATCACGTGCACCGAGTTGTCTTCTCGGAAGGCATCCATGGAGGCAGTTCTGGCATTTCGACTCATCTTACCGTCAAGGCGAGTGTATCGAATCCCGACGTTGTCCAATGCGATCTGAATAAGATCGAGATGAGACGTCCAGGCGGAGAAGACAACCGACTTAAATGGGGGCTCGTCGGGGTGAGCCTCGCTATCGGCTTTTGCTTTTAGGAGGTCATCGACAAGTGCACGAGTCTTCGTGTGAGGTCCCGAATATTCCGGGTAGCCATCTTTCGTCCTGACTTTAGTTTCCGATTTATGTGATTGATGGTGCCCCTCGTGTTCGACTTCGGCTTTGCTCTTGCGAATTTCATTGTAGGCGAAGCGAACATGAGACTGGCAGACGGGACATGTACCTGACCCGTGATTGCCCACCTCCTCTTCCCAGGTCGTAATGCAACTGGGGCAGAGAAGGTGAAAGCAAGCAGTCATATAACCGAGAACATCCTCTTCGCGCTCTGACGCGATACTAGCGCTATCATTCGAGCCAATCTTTTTCTGGCAGGATATACATAAGTCGCTGTTAGTCTCCTGCATGAGCTCAAAAGCCTCATAAACTCTTGATTCTGCCAATGCGGGTTTCTCGTCGTCCTCGTCGCTGTCAAGGTCAATGGCAGATTCTTGGGTCATACCCTGCACCGCCTCCAGGTCCTCATCGCTAAGAAGATCCCTGCCATGCGCAGAGATAAGACGCAGTCTAAGAATGGATTGAAGAATATGGATATAGGTCCTACCACCAATCATTTTCTCTCTGCCTGCCGCTAAGACCTGTACCTTATCTTGCGCATTCTTTTCGAATATATCGTAGAGTTTGCGCTCGGAAGCAGAGAATTCTAGTCTTATGATCTCGTCCGTCCTGGGAGGGAGATTAATCTTGTCCTTCAAACGCCTAAGAGTGATACTGTCTACGAGAATCCGAAGCTTCGGGACAATCTCCGGGTCACAAATCTTAAAGGGAGCTGTGATGTGTTGTGTAAACTTGCTCTTTTCGTCAAAAGGCTTTAGGCGGAGGAAGGCAAGTAATGCTGCGAGATCATCAAGCTTGTTTTGGACGGGAGTGCCGGTAACGGCCCAGCGGCGGTTGGCTTGTAAGCGGCAGATAGCCTTGAATTGCAGAGTAGACTGCTCTCGTATCATATGGGCCTCGTCCAAGACTACACGGAACCATCCTACCTCCTCGAGAGGATACGAACCTTGCCTGCCCTTGTTACGGGATGCTACCTCGCTAGCAACAGATCCATAGGTTGTCAAAACAAGGTCAAACATGGCAAGCTTTTCGGGATCCTTAATGCGATTGGATCCATGATAAATATAATACGTCAGCTTGCCAGGCTGGATGTGAGCCTTGATTTGCTCTTCCCAATTCGTTATCGTACTGAGAGGACATATCAAAAGCGTTGTTTTGACGTTCAGCTTTAGTTGGGTCAAGCCAAGCGGCTGTGGTGTGGGTACATCAAACTGTCCCGAAGAATTGGGTTTCTTCTTCGGCATAAGAGGAGCCTGTGGCTGAACAGGCATACGCTTTGACCACTCGTCGGCTTCCTTGAGGGAACTAGCAACAAGAGACAATATGCTTAGCGTCTTTCCTAGGCCCATCATATCCGCAAGAATACCACCGAGGGTCTCGGGAGGGGCTTCGCGTTGCGAGTTTCCGGTAATTACGTTGTAGTACGTTTTCTGGCCGTTGTTACCTAGACGGATTTGCCAGAAAGAACCGATAGCCTTGCCATCGCTGTCGAATTGGCGAGGCAGCTCCTTGTTCATCATAAAGCCTAGTCCTTGTTTCTGGTGCTTTAGAAGCTCCGTCTGTACTCGAGGGTCAGGTTCCACCTCAGGAAGCTCTTCGTTCTTTGCAAGAGAGTCAAAAACTCCCATGACTTCGGAACGGATCTCTTCAACGCTAGACATCATGGAGGGTGGGACCGACGTAGCCGCAGTAGGAATCGTCTTGAGTTGCTCCTTAATAACTGGCGGAGGCTTAGGTCCCTCGGCAAGCTGTGGATTCTCGTATTTTACACTATGATCGATTCTTTGGGGATGGCGAAGCCAAATATTCTTTTGAGAAAGATGTCTCGCAACGGTCTTGGCACTCCTCCGGGGACCATAAAGCATCAGATCAAGGATATAGGTTCTTGAGATATGCTTTCCAGCTTCTTCCCCTGCCACCTTCTGCCTTGTAGGTATCCTGCAGTCGGTTCTGAGCTGAAGGCGGGAGTCTAATAAGCCTGCGAGGCCGGACGCGGTGGTGGCATCGACGGTTCCAACTATCTTGCGCGTATGGTCGTAGGCGTGAATAATATAAGATGCCTCCCCAAGTTTTCTTCTAAGTACAATCTTTACTTGAGGCCACCAGGTTGGCATGAGTGCGAAAGCGCCTGGTTTGGGACTCGGAACGATATGACAATTAAGACTCGCGTGTTGGATCATGCCATAGCAGATCTCTTCGTCCATCGGAGCTTGTATCACGACGACGTCATTTTCCTCCACTGTCGAAATATTAGGTAGATATTCAGCTAAATTCATAAGAGTAGCTTACCGCTGTCAGTAAGGTCTACGGCCTCCACCGGTCCGGTTGGGTATTGCTGATTGCCCCCCTCTTGTCGCCTCTCCTTCACGTACTGCCCAATAACCCCGCCACCGCCGCCGTTTCTAAATGTGTGCGCTGGACTGACATTATCTTCCGCCTCGAGTTTTCGGCGTTTTGATTGAGGATTCAATGTACGCTGTTCCACATTGTTCATGCGGTCAATCATATTGCTAAAATTGCTAGATTGCGGCATAGGCTGACTGATGGTGGTTGTATAGCCATTCTGCGGGGTGGAGAACTGGAAATCCGGGCTATTGAATTGGAATTCGACGTCGGCCGAGTTATTCGAGTTGTTGAAAGGACGGGTAGGCGCATTTGGTCGGGTAGGCGGAGTAGGAGCAGCGTAGCCTTTAGGATTAAGTAGAAGGGCTGGATTCATATTAAGTCTCGAGGATCCATTCTGCATGGAGGCTGAATCGAAGGACAAAATGTCAGTATCATCTCGAGGTCTCTTTGTGGGTAGAGTAGATTGTATTGGTTGTATTGGTTGGGGAGGGTTGCTCTGACTTGTAGTAGGTGCGGGTGAGTAAACAGGGTTGTAAAGAGGGCTGTTACCCTGTGAGTGGTTGTTTGAGGCCATATTATATGCCTTCCTGGCTTGTCGCTGTGAATGGTGAAGTGGGGCTACATGCAGAACTGTTGTTGTTAAGACGTCCGCGAGGGTAGTTAGAGGTTATAGACAAAGAAAGGCGCGCGCCCGAAGAAGTTGTTTTTCGTAGGTGGAGATGGGCATCGGCAAGGCTGGTTCGAATGATAGTGAGAAGGCGTGAAAGAACGGCCGGGGTCTGGGCGTGAGATATAAAGATATAAGATATGCAGAATACCTATATGTAGAGAATACGTAGGGGAGGGTAAGTGGGCAGGTGGGCAGATAATAAACTTGCGGTTTGGCTCGAGGCTTGAAACTTGAAACTTAAAACTTAAACGTCCATCTCAAAAGGAAAGAAAAAAAAAAGAGACAAAAAATCTCAAATAGTTAACTTCGTCACGAGGACAATGTTAGGTACCGTGTAGGGTGAGATAGTTGTGAGTGGTGAGTGGATGTGACAGTCAAGCTTCTGAAATTTGTAGAATGGGCAAAGTTGGTTGGTCGATTGCTTGTTGACTAGGAACATTTCGGGATGCATTAGGTTGACGTTGACGTGAGAAGTATCGACCCTACCCACATGTATGGAGGGGTACTTATCAAGAGAAGTATACGTACTTCATTATCTGATTAAGTAGGTATAGTATTACGTATATCTCGAATATATCATTGGTATAGGTACTTTGGGTATATATAACGGGCAGGCACTGGTTGGCTACCGATAGGCGCAGCTACCCACCCCGCCGAGGATGCAGCTACTACTACTTACTACTACCTGAGATGCCTCCCTCACTGCTAACTGCCTGACGCGTCGCAAATCAAAAACGAATACTGAAAAATGCTTGATTGGTCTGCTGACCAGCTGAGCGCACTAATCTCAACCCGTCCAGCCCATCCAGCCCGTCTTTCACTTTTCACCTCTGTACTCCCCAGGCCACGTGCCCCGCAGATCTAAAAAGACCCAATTAACCTGATGCAGATGCAGGCATCGTCGCCGTGGGTCTCTTGGCACCAATCCATAGTCGTGTCCGCATCCCCGGACTTGTTATTTGCCTGTCTTGAGGCTTCTGATACCTTGAACTAATCTTTCTTATCTTGATTTCCAATTATGATTTCCAATTACATACCTACTATTAGTTAACATACATAAGATTTTTATATTGGTCTCATTCCGTATTTTGTCATATCCTCTCCCTTTTCCATCCAAGTAGATAAATGATGCACCGATATCCTGTTGCTTTTAGTTTACAGGTGGATTAAGCAAGCTTCCTGTTCCCACCACTAACTTTTTAATACTATTAGAGGTAACGTATTGACTTTGTCACCTTTGAGCCAGCCCTTTAGGGTCGGGTACCCAGTAATGCTTTTGTTGTACGATGCTTGGCGGTTGCAGTAACCTAATACAGCATCACATTGTTCCAATGTCATGCCTTGTGTAGGCGTAGCCATTGCTGGATCTGTAGACTGTAGTATTCAGAATCCTAACTCTCAAGCTCTGACCGTATTATCCATTCTGCTTCGATTTCTGAGACGGACTGTCGCCCCTGATCACGATTTCATGGCGGAGGAATGAAGCAACAATAGGCTCAATAACTTTATTTGACTCGACATCGTGATTTCGACCTCGACTCTGTGTTCTTTGCCGTCTTCTCTTCGAAGCCTCCTGTGTAGTCGGAGAGCGGGATCTAGATGGTGATTGACTTCGATGACGGTTCAGTTGAACAACACGAATCAACTTTTTGCGGGTTGGAGATAAGGACCCTCCTCTGAGTCGTGATGTGTTTCTGGATATATCGAGCCTCGAAGATGAACGGTGCCTGCATCGTCCACGGAAAGTAGCAGACTCTGCTGACGGTATTCGAGCTGCTGCAACTGCTAAAGTTTCTGGCGGGCTGCGCCGGCGTTTCCGTCCTCGTTGATTATCAGGTTCGGGTGACGAGAAGGCCGTAATGGTGATATCAATAAAGCTTTCGTTTGCTGCTTGAGCGGCCATTTCGAATCTGACGGCGATGAACTGGTGTGATTGGGATGCTGAACTGTGTTTTACTTAAAACAACCCGATAACCTCGCTTGTCGACTGGAGGATTAAAAGAGGTAAGTCCTAAGACAGTAGATAGGGGTAAGACCTAGATCATTTGAGCCAGTGATGGGGGAAGATGCAAGGCTCATTAGAGGGGACCGGCTGGGGAGATATAAAAATACAGCTGAGTGTTTCGAGTCACGGGAAGGGATACGAGAAATAGAAGACGGTGAAGAATTGGGAAGAAATAGTCTGAATAAGAGATGATCCTACTAGAAAGTAATCTGGATCACATCGGCACGGAAAGCCAAGATAAACCCCAGGAACCTCACTACAAGAGCCAAAGAGCCAAAGAACCAAATGGCAGGGTTAGGATCGACAGTTCACTCCTGGGATCTTCAAATCAGACCGTCTTGGATTGGTGCATCTCTAGACTAAATGGATAAGACACGATTGGCCAACCATCCGGTGGAACTGACGTAAACTGTCAGACTGTGTCGAACCAAAGAAACTCAGTTTGCAGGCTGCCAGGGTAGCAGCTGAGTGGACACGGCTAAGCTGGAGCTTCTCCCTTTTTCTCGACTAACGACCTAAGGAGAAACGGTGATATGCCGGGCCTGGAATTAAAAGTTGGCGAGCTCAGACTATGTCGAACAACGAAGCTTAGATGGTTCGATAGATATGCGAGCCTGGTACAACTCAAGTTGCAGATGACTCGGGTAACTCAGCCTATTGCAATGCGGTCGGATTCTGATCATGTACGGGATCGCGTGATATGATTCTTATTGGAGCGATTGAGGATGATCTACTACTATTGTAAAAGTCGATTTCATTTGATTCGAGGAAAAGGAATGCTGTTGATGAATTATCCGTGCTGCTGTGTTGCTTGTTTGAGGCAATTCGTGAATTGGATCATATCTAGGTAAATTGGCTACGTAGGTAGATTGTAGGTAGATTGTAGGGCGTGAAAGCTATGTACGCAATATGTATTACCTCAAAGGTTCCTAAGGTAAGCTGTGAAACGATCCCTCTTAGATGTGTGATCTAACAGTAGCGGAAGCCTCCGATAGGTGGGGTTGGTACTAGTCTTAGACCTAGGAAGGAACCTTAGTGGCCTTTATTTAAGTACATACATGTACCTGGTAGGGAAGCTTAGGTAGAAACGTAGGAATTTCGATATAATCTCGACATCCCTCACCAGTCCTTTTTTATTTATTACTACCTACCTATTGCTAAAAGCTCGAGTCAATGTTCCACCTAGACACTTTGTCTTTTCTTGGTATAGCTACGGCGATGGGAAGAGAAGATTACCTGCATAAGCTACCTAGGTACCTATGTAGATACCTGTATACTTGAGGTAATATGAGTTAAAGATATATCGCTTATAAAGATATTGAACAATATTCTATACCAATCATCCAATAAGCTAACGTCGTGCCGAGCTCCGAGGCTTTTCAATTAATGGAGTATCCTGTATGCATCCTTGTGGGGTTTATTATGGGTGCCTTACGTTGATGTAGAATCCTAGGTTACTAATGTTCTAATATCTTTTAGGGAATGGAATAGGTAGGTACGCTTCTTATTGACGTGACGTGTTTCGACATCTTCGGCTAGAACATCAACTTACATCCACCAGCGCCAACATCAAACCGTATCTTCTCTTTTTTTTTTCTACGTCGAGATACTAGGCGTTGTCGTGTTTTTTTTTTAAAAAGTCCCTCTTTGCTACTATTTCCATTCTTTAGCCCCATAGTTGGCAAAGCCGCCAACGTCAGGTATTGGTTACCTATTAATTAGATACGAGACAAATCAGGGGCAGGACCAAAGCAAGCCTAACATACAATTTTGACCTTATCTTTTGTTAATAGAATGCGATAATTTCCAAGGGACTAGACCACAGACCAGACCACAGACCCAACCCTTTTTAATCCACATACATTGTATCTACCCAGCATCCGCCCAGCCATGCCTCCAAGTCGCCCGGCTACGACCGGCTACGAACGCCTGGCCCAGGCTGATCAGTTTAGCGACGACGATTCCGAAGATGATCCCTTAGCCCAGAGCTCCGCATCGCTTCAACCTCAATCTGCTCCTCGCTATGCGCCCCTCACACAACCAAGGCCTCACTCGGGCATGACGTCGCCGAAGGCACTTACGAAACTCAAGTATCAGACAAGGCGAATGCGAAGCAACTCGGGTGTTGACCTCAAAGCCATCAACGCTCGTCTAGAACGATGGGCCGACGAAATCGCATCAAAGTTCAAAAGGGGGAAGGGGAGGGGCAATTTAGGTGAAGAGGAGCGCCTCGAAATCCATTACAGCGTCTTCCAACCCCCTCCGGGTGTCCGACCCGCGACCCCCGAGACGCTTGCCGCCATGCCCAAGCCCGCCATGTCTAAGGCCGAGTTCGAAGCTATCGTCGAGAGCGTGCAAGTCGCCATTGACCAAGGTATGCATCCGAGTTTGATTACGCAAGGTAGCTCAGGGAGTTATTTTGCGCGGAATACCGACGGTAAGATTGTTGGTGTGTTCAAGCCCAAGGATGAAGAACCATACGCTGCCGGAAACCCGAAATGGAACAAGTGGATTCATCGAAATTTATTTCCTTGCTGTTTTGGTCGAGCATGGTAAGTATCTAACCTATGCGTATATATATATAGATAGCCAAGGTTCTAACTCGTTTACAGTCTAATACCCAATCTCTCATACGTGAGCGAGGCAGCAGCGTACGTTCTTGATTGCCAACTCCGTACCCACATAGTCCCTTATACCGATGTTATCTGGCTATCATCTAAGTCGTTTCACTATCCGTATTGGGATCGCCGGAGCTTTTATAGGAAGAGGAAGCCTCTTCCAGCAAAGCCAGGGAGTTTTCAGGTATTCCTTAAGGGGTTTAAAGATGCCAACGTCTTCCTAAGGGAAAACCCCTGGCCGGACCAGTATTGGACTAGTTTTCGCTCAAACGACACTCACCGACATAAGCAAAGAAGGTGGGCAGAAAACTGTCGACCGTCCAGTAGAGCTCCTCGTGATGCCGACAGTGAGAGCGAAGATGAACGCAATGGCCCTGAACAACAGCCTCTTGGACCCGGCAACTTTAGGTGGACTGAGTCGCTGAAGCAGTCGTTCCGGGAAGAGCTCGAAAAGCTTGTCATTTTAGATTACATCATGCGGAATACGGATAGAGGTCTCGACAATTGGATGGTCAAAGTTGATTGGGAAACCCAAGCAGTCTCGATTACTTCCGAACCTCCACAACTTAACATGGATGTAGGAGAAGAAGACGACGAACAACCTGCAAGACCTGTACATTTACCAGTGAGAGGAAACTCAAGAAGTCCTAACCCCTATAAAGCCCAAAAGCCTATGAATGCAACGGGTACAAGCACGAGCACGAGCAAGAACCCTGATCCTAAGATCTCCCTTGGAGCGATTGACAACTCATTATCATGGCCGTGGAAACACCCGGACGCATGGCGAAGGTACTTACATTCCATTTTCCACGTTGTCTAAGAAGATAAACTTACCATTGATAGTTTCCCTTTTGGCTGGCTTTTCCTACCTGTTGATCTTATTGGGCGACCTTTCTCCCAGAAAACGCGGGATCACTTCCTACCTCTTCTTACTTCTACGCAATGGTGGAGCCAGACTTCGCTCGAGCTACGAAAGGTATTCCAAATCGACCCCGACTTTCAGGAGAAGATGTTCTCCCGGCAGATGGCCGTAATGAAGGGACAGGCTTGGAACGTTGTCGAAACGCTGAAGACCCCGGACCACGGACCGCTGGAGCTTACACGACGAGCCAGGGTATGCGTTTGGGACGACTTGGTCGAAGTCCCCGTCGCTGTACCTATGCGCGCTACATCGTCTGAAGCGCGTCGTAGGGCCGAACCCGAGGCTCACAGCACTATCGAGGAGGAAATGGACATCGGCGCAGCCAACTCATCAGCACCTGCTGGTACCGTCGACGACCTGCTTGGGTTCTCCAGCCCGCTACCGAATCCCGGGCGTTTCGAACTTTCGAGTTCCCACGAACAGTCGCCAGAACGACCCGAGCCCCAGAACCCATTCGACGCTCTGTCATCAGGCACCCGTCCGCAACTATCGCGTCCACCAAGGTCAAGCTATCAGGGTCCGTCGCGCACGCAGATGAACATGTACACGCCCCGCAAGGAGCGCCGGTACTCCTTTGCAACAGGTATCAATGGCGCTTCGCTCACCGCGAAGCTTCACGGTAACGGAAACGCTTACGACGAGGACGACATGGATGGAGATTTGGGATACGCCGCGGCTGAAACGATGGATGGCAACAGGCGGAAGGTGATTGTGGAGCGGCTCGAGACCGTCAAGGCTAGGAATCCGGTGTTCACTTGGTGCTAAGCGCTTGCCTGCCCACCCAACGACATCCAGAACGATAATGAAGGAAAAAAAAAAAAAAAAAAAAAAAAAAAAAAGGTCACCTGTTTTGTTCGTCTGTTCCTACATACCAACATACATTAGGTCCACATCTATCTATCTGTCTGTCTGTCTGTCAGTTGTACAGTAACAATCCCGCCCTAGGTACTAGAGAAGCAAATTTCTCTCGTATTTGCCGTCGCCCGACGGCTCGGCGGAACGGAACGGAAAAGAAAGAGAAGAAAAAAAAAAGGAAGTAAGAAATAAGGGCGCGCGTCGTCTCATCGTGACATGGAAAGAGGGCACGGATAAGGAACGGGCATTGATTGAATTGCATGATCTTATATGTATGGGTAGACGGGGAACAACCATGGATTGGTCATCAAAGTGGTCATTCAAAGTGTACAACAGCAAGGAGCACAGAGCAAGGAGCACAGAGCACAGAGCACAGCGCAGCTTAGCATAAAATAGCATAGCATAGCACGGCACAGCACAGCACGGCACGGCAGGCTACGAAATCTAGAGCTTCTGCGCGCTATGGAGCCTACATATAAATCGTAAGACATACATATTTTGTGTAATTTCCACTGCAGACGCGTATATACGGGCTGCTGGGGGATTTTTGCTTTTTGCTTTTTGCTTCCGCCATGTTTATCAAAATTACCTAACATATGAGGTATGTATGCGCTGAAGTTTAGCTGTTACCGACACAATGGAACAGCACCGGGCTTAACACGGGAATTCGCACTCGAACAATCGTAGATATATGTACGATGTACGTACCCACCCTGCCACCCTGCCACCCAGTTTCAATGTACATAGGGGAGGACGATTTGATTTCCTGGTCCGTGAGCTACTGCACATATACATACATAGTAGGTATCCAGCGTTGAAGAAACGTCTACCGGCGGAGTCGTTCAACCATGCCACACCCTTGCTAATATCCATGCTATACTAGTGTAATGCTATCCCAGAAACCCAACATGCGCGGCTGGTACGGTTGGGGCGGGTCGGCACTCTGGCTTACCAGGGCTAGGGAACCAATGACCAGAAAGTAGTATTCCAGAAACTCGACATGTCCGTCCCCCCAATCATCACTACATGCGGCTACGCCAAAAGAGAAGAGAAGAGAAGAGACGAGACGAGACGAGACGAGGATGAAAAAAATAATATCAATAATAATACAAGTAATAACAATTATACGAAGTAGTAATGACGATAATAATTAGGAGTTGTTGTCCGCTTACTAAGAAAAATAAAGTAAGGTCAGGTCACAAGTGACCGAAGAAGAAAAAAATGCAAAAAGGAAAATACAATAATATTAAAGAGCAAACCCCATAATAATAAATTAAACCCGTTGAGAGAAAAGACGGTTCCGAGAGAGAGGGACAGCGTGTCAGGGTTCAGGGAAGAGGTGGATGGGGGGAAAAAAAAAAGAAGGGGAATGGAAAAGGAAAAAGTGATATGTGACCTGTCGTATTCCAGCGTATCTGTACAATACGGACCCTAGCCAGACCAACCCGGCAAAAGACCCAGCAAAGCAGAAAGCCCAGAGAAAAAAAACCACGTCAAACCCACACTCGACCCCCCCCGACCGAGACCCCGGACGGCCCGCGATTGGGGGTCTGCCCGAAGGACGCTGCCGTCGGGGCCACCTACCTTGACCCTGTTCGCTCGCCTTGCCTTGCCTTGCCTGCCTATGCCGCAGGCGTTCTTCTAAATCCATTCTAAATCCAGGGGTGTCGCGTACCACGTTCCCATACATAACAATACATAACATAACCCTCTTTCTCTCTGTGCCCTTTCCCATCTTCTCACCCCCTTCCCCCCTTATTTCCTCCATTCGCGTTGCTTCTACGCGCCTTACCTACGTCAAAACAGCTGACAAGGTCCAGTAGCGTCTCCTTGATACACCGAAGCAGAACCCGAAAGGAGAGGGTGTGGAAAGGAGGGGGGGCGTGAACGTCAAGAAGATGGAAGGAGAAAAAATATTAAGAAAAAAAGACGAGAATTAAAAATAAACTTGACGTATCAGAATGATGGCGCGGTTTTGGGGGCTCAAAGAACAGCTCATGTTGCATGTTTGTATGCCCGGGACTACTACTCTGCCTTGCCACCCTACTGGCGTACCTACCTCGTTTCTACTAGGTACGGTATCGAATTCGTACCTATCAGGTCGACGTTCATGGACTTTACTCCGCGTATCAGGAACCCATGTCTTGGATATACTAGCAATATCCTACGTCGCGGTACGGGACGGCCTGCATACTATGCCGCCGTATGCTCGGTGATATGGGTTTAGAGGGGAGGGTAGTATGCCGCGCTGCTCGGCAGATGCTTAAATCTACCATCATGAGAGGCCTCCAGATGTACGGCATCGTAACCGAGCGGCGGCGAGGGCGGCGAGACCAAAAAATAAATTATTGAAATTATGTAGCAATATCGAAAAGCCGATCCAGAGTGACCCGAGTAGACGGCACACCGAATGGTGAGGTTGCGTTTTGCTTCGCCTCGTTCCTCCGTGGGGAAGATATATATCTATCTACCAGGCGGCAAGAGGCGAGATAGATCCTCAAACCGGTCCCGCGGAAATGTCGTCAGGCTACCCATGAGATCGACTTACCAGCCTGCTGGGTAAGAAGCCTCGTTACAGTTTCAACGCTCCGGGCTCCCAAGCATTGACTCCAAAGTCGCAACGGACATGTAAGGCGTTCCCGCGTAGGCGGTAAGGCACCTTCGCCTCGCGTCTGCATGCTGCCGCACCCGAAAGGAGCGCTGGGAACTGAAAGGACGTCTTGGATTGGATTGACCCTGCCAATCAAGGGTAGCGCATGGACGGGAGAACTGCAAGCCAACCTAGCCTCGAAAGGGTTCCTAACCAAGCGTATGTAAGTACTGTACGTAGACTTTCCCGCAGGGTAGCACCCTGTTTCTTACCGACCCCTCAATTTCTAGCGTTGGTAGGCCAGCCAAGCTCTTCCGGGAAATAGATCCAGCCCTTCGGGCTGGTGGTACAAAGACCATGTATATACCTATTCAATCCCAAACTCATCTGCAACCCTCCCAATTCGCACGTGATGGAGATCGCTTGCGCTTGCGCTTGCGTACTGTACCGTGCCCGCTAGCTAGGTACACTACTACGGGATCCTTGCTTACGAGGGTTATTCTCTCTACAAACGTAGTATGTAGCAGCCGAGGGGACGGTACATGGCCACAGCTATCGAGTACCTATTGGCAGATTCGCAGGGTAATGATAAACAAGGGTTACCATCGCAGCGGAGAGTGAGGCTGGCCCAAATTAGTCGTCGAGGCCGCCGGCTTTTTTCCGCTATTTTTCTCTTTTAGATCCGGATACAATCACACCTGTAGTGTCTGACCCGATACTCTGGTACACGCTAATGCATGGCTCACTAGAGTAAGACACATGATTGCGATGATGACGAAGAGGTTAACGACGGTGAAGACAGATACAGATCAGACTGTGATATGTTGAGATGCTCCAGCGAGGCTATAATCGAGATCTGCAGGTTTGCAAGGAGCCAAAACTTAAACCGAAGTCCTGGAAAAGCCGGCTTCAACCGTAGCTTACATGAAGACCCGTCGCGAAGCATGAGAGTGTGATCCAGAGGGGCGGGCGCCGTCCCAGCAGCAAGGAAAAATTGCGTGCGTGTGTAGTACTGTACGTATGAGGGCACAGAGGCTTTAACCATCTGTGGGGCCTGTCCCGACCATAATCCTGCCTATAGACCAGGGGTAACTTGCTAGCGTCGAACAACGAATGGACCTCTGCCATTCTTCTCGGTAAAGAGCTCTTACCAGAAACGTGGATATCGACTTTCGCCAGCCCTAGCTTTCATATCTTTTTTCTTCAGCTTGTGAAGCCGACTATGAGCCGCTAATATATCTAGTTCGACATCGACAGCCTTACTATGCATCTCAGCAGGGAACTGTAGTTGTCGAAGCGGTTGCCAGTATATAGAATACCTAGTGTCCCCTTTTCGTTCTGCTGATGGCAAACCCGCGGCGGCAGAGGCCAGTACTGTACTGTACTTTCAGCCTAGAAACGTATTAGTACCGCCGTACCGGCCACTTGGAGATCGCCGCCACCCCCCCAAATTTCTAGCGTCGTCCCTCTTAATGCTATCTCCACTGCAACGGCCCGCTTTGTTCTGATCTCTTGTGATGCTAGGTATCCTTTAACCCATATTAAATGGGTGCGAGGCATAATAGCATAATAAACATCCCCTGGCGGTCCCAGAGACGCCGCCTGCAGCACGTCGTCCTAGACCAAAAAATTAACTAAGGAAAACGGCTATTTGACGGTCGAGCACCGTTGCTGATTCTTAGCCAGGTTGTTGAACTTAGTTTTCATCAGACCATAGTGGCGGTGTGAGGAAGCCATACTAAAATAAGGAAATCCTGTAATCTCTTCACCGTCCGGGTAGTCGCACATAAGGAGCTGTGAGTAATAGTAGGCACCGCGATCGTCACGCCAATCTCGTCGTCCCAGGACCCGGGTGAGCCTGCTCCCCTCGCGCATATGTACTAATACTAAGTGGACATAAATGATCTGGGCCAGTTACCTTGCGGACAAGTTACTGTAGCTAGACAGGCCATTCGAGATCCTCATCCCTGTCGTCATAGTAGCCCGCCATGTACGTGAAATCCGTCTCTGACTGACCACATCCGTAATACGTAGTAGATTAAAAGTCATCGGCAAGTAATATATTATTTCTGACTCAGGCTGCATCCGGCATGCTTACCAAAGACTTTCGTGCGTCTTGCCCGTGGCAGTTCGCCAGGGGTTCTGAAATATAGTTTTCTGGGACGTCTGGCGGCAAGGTAGGTTGTAAGAATCCTAAGACGTAGCCAAGGCCTGCGAGTGCTAAGGGTACCCCGTTGGTGTAGCCGTCATCCTGCGTGTACTCCGTATAGGGGCACATGGAAATGAAGCTACAGCCGGTCCAGAGAGCTGGGTCCCCGAACTCCCTTAAACCACAGCTCTATGGAATTCTGCTGGTTCCTCTAAAACCAGGCTAAAAATGCGTAGGCGGAGCCGTTTTCATGCTCGCCGAAGGCTCCTTTTGATTCTTATCCCCTATTGCCGCTGCCAAACCTCCTAGGTCGTCTAGAAGCCCTTCGCGCTGAACGCGGCTACAAAGCCGTCCAAAATTCCAAACCCTTGGTTACGGCCGCATAAACTGACCAGATCTTGCTGAGAGCAACACGAGGCACAGTACAGTAAACTGTCAGCAACTTTAAAGAAGGGTAACTAGAGTACCGAGAGACTACCGAACCGGTACGATCAATCACAAGCATACGTTAAGTCTCATACGTGGCTGCTTAATCCCACCTAGCCAGATATAAGACCGTTTCTGCGCTATATGTCATTCAATGCAATGTGAACCTCCGCAGCACCCAAATCAAATAGCCATTGGGCGAAGTATATGCCAAGAATAACAAGTAAAGAAGCAGGCTTGGGCAGCAATGTCTTTCTTTCCGATGGACGATGCAAGAGAGAGACGGGAACTAGTGCGGGTGCATTGGGTCATGGAGTAGTAGAGAGAGAGGAACAGGCCTAGGGAACTCAGATGCCTGCCCATATGCTTCAATGGTCTATATCTGAGCCGATTTGATCAGGAAGGTCTGATGCATACGTAGGGAGTAACTGTAGTACCTAGGATCGGCGAACAGCAGAAAGCTCGTGGGGTGCAAGCTGTGGACGTGTGACCAATGTGGTTGTTTGACCGGGCCATTGGCTCCACACACGCCTAAACAGCTTTATTATTCTTGCAATATACCACTTTCCACTAACGGTCCCCATGTACCTAGTGAAGAGGAGATCAGACTGCCTCCTCGTCGAGAGGGTGGTGAGCGTTGATGGTGTTGGAAGCCCAAACCGAGCATGCCGGACTGGATAAAAACCGTCATTCGGGAGCCTATAGCTGTTCATCCAGGCCACACATCATCTCGAACACATAGCCTGTCAGCTGGAAGACAGCCTCACGGTATTCTCAACTAGATATTTTGCTTGGTTCCCCTTAACAGAACTAGCGTTATTATAAAATGACTGGGTAGATATGCCCTAAGCCTCAGCAGAAAGTGTTCTGCTCACTAAACCGCCAATAGGCACGCCGACACCGAAGAGGTCACCGACGAAGTGCGCGAAACTTTTACCCACCACAACAGAATATACCAGCGCTGTTCAGTGGACCGCAGGATATATCTTGTGCCTGTTGATGAGGTCTGCAGACGCCAAAGACTCCTTTTCGAATCGGACCCACAAACTGATGTCGACGCACCTTTCGCAGGATGAGACTATTCGCTTGCGCATCCAGTACGACGTCTTAGCCATGGTGTTCGACGGGAGATCTATCTTCCCACCCATGGGTGCTCTAAGGCGAGTACTCGACTGTGGCTTCGGAACGGGAATGTGGGCTTTCCAAGTGGCTTGGGAGAATCCTAGGTGCGAGGCACGTATAGAGTCGTTTCTTGCATCGGTCGTACTCCACGGATCCCCAATACCTGGGACCAAACCCCCTCGGCAGAGTCTTTTCTAACATATACGTCTCCGAGCGGAAAACTCGTCAACCTTCTCTTGCGATGCGATAAGCTTCTGTTCGGGTTTTGTCTCCTCAGCCGCAGACCAGAGCTAGAAAGCCGCTGCAGCCAGCGCGTTTCAACCGCAAGAAGATTGGTTTGGTGAGCTTGATGCTAACAGTCGGCTCGCGGAAAGACATATTTATCGTTTTAAAGACTCTCTGTTAGCTAACATTGGAGAATTCAGGTCATTGGCATCGACGTGAGCCCCCATCATTATAACCCCGAGGAGAGTGTTGAGAACCTTTACCTTAATGTCGACAACTTGAACATGCCGTAAGAACCGAAATGCCCGATTATCAGAACGGAAATCTCAACTAGCATATTTGCAGGCTTTCGTTTCCTTCCAATCATTTCGACCTCGTGAATAGCAGACTTGTAGCCGGAGGCATCGACCGTAACCGATGGAACGAATACATGCGTGATATCCTCCGGTGTCTGCGCCGAGGTGGATGGTGCCAAATGGTTGAAATCGATTACAACGCACAGTCCGACAATGGTACATTGACAGACGGTAAGGGGGACGAGCTCTGTAGCGAGACGTGCATATGCTCATCACGGGGTTCTCAATAGGTCACGCACTTCGCCAATGGTCAGACAAATACAGCCGAGCAATGTCGCAGCTCAAAAACGTCGAGGCGCCACGACGTCTTGCGCATTGGATGAGGCAAGCTGGCTTCACCGATGTCGAGGAGCGAAGTAGGTATCTGAAAGCTCATCCACCCCCTAGGTTTATTCCACCCGCGCCTGATCATTGGGTTCAATTTAACAGTGACCCCCTTCAATCAACGTCTGGTCCCTAGCTCGATGAAGCAGCATGTGCTAATTTTTGTTTGGTAGTGATCCCCTTACCCATGTGCGGCTGGTCTGATAGTATGGTGCCGTCTGGTTTTTCTGAATATTAGATCCTAACATTTCGCGTAGTCCAGAGAGACTTTGATATTGGTGTTCACAACCAAGAAAACGTCCGATTGCTGCTCGGGTCTTTAGCCTTGTACCCGTTCACGGAGCTACTAAAGTAAGCTCAATGCCGATTTGTTCAAGAATGCGCCAGCTGCACACGGAATTGTTGACATTTCGCAGCATGACTATTACGGAATTCCACGTCTTGGTGGCACAGGCGAGAGCAGAAGCTACTAACCCTGCACTCAAGGTAAGGCCCTGACCTAGCTCCTCAACTCAAATGTACAAAACGGACCGTGGATGATGCTGATAAGTATTGTGGAATAATAGCCATATTTTCGGTTGTAAGTTATCCCCATTTCAGGCTCCCGACGAATGTCAAACCTAACAGAAGGCTAACAAATTGCTATTCAAGATACGTATGCGTGGGTAGAAAGCCGAGGCGCTGAGGTCGGCGGGAACTGGTTTGGCGGCTCTCCCGGAAGGAAACCTTGCCGCAGTGGAGGTGGAGAGGCAAGGTATACGGCGGGTCAAAGCAGACGCAGGTTAGACTAATCGGGTCAACACCGTATCGCTTGCTCGGTCGTTCATCCTGGGAGAAAGGGGGTGGGGGCTCGATTGTGTAGAGATGGGTTGTGTAGGATGCCAGTAAGGCTGGCTGCTACGGGTTGTCATCCACCTGCCTCTGGGAAAAAGGACCAGGCTTCGCACATTGTACGTTGAGCAATCAGCAGATAAGGACACGACTGCATTTATAGAATATACCTATGTTGATACAACATTGACCGGCGTGGGCTTTGAATGATGTTGGGGAGGGTTATGTGATATATGGGATTATACATATGGGAACTTATGGGAACTTATGGGAAACAAAGACAGCGAAGACGGAGAGGGGCGAGTGGAGAGAGAGGGAATTGGAAGGCAGGACATGAGGTCAGCTTAAGGTTTGCAGCCAAAAGGGAAGCAGCAAATCAAGGGATCCCCTTTGCTCCTTCTACCAGAGTCTCGGGTCCAACTAGTCGGGTCGTGTGTCTCAACCCAATCGAGAAAATACCCATAGGGTACCTCCTGCCCAACATGATACATATTGCTTTCGTACGTATTCCATACACACACGTATGTACTCTACGGTATACACATACACATGTAAAGTATAAAAGTATAAAAGTACATCGGATGCGTAACACGCACACATACACATACACACACATCAATAAAAGCTAATCTTACTGGCCAACATCGAGAAATACGCCCCGTTTCGAGTATCTAAGGCAGACACGGGCGGTTAGAGCCGCTGTCACGGCATCTCCTTTTGATCGCTCATTCCGCCCGCATTCCCGGCCCTCCTAGTCGCGGGCGGACCAACTTTGCCAGTGGGCCACCCCCGGTCCTGTTTTGTTTCCAAATTCTTAAGACTTACCATAGTTAAATGCCGTGTTCTAGACTGCTGAGGCTACCCTACCCGGCCTTGCCACTGCTTGTTGTTCGGAGGGCAGCAGCGTGGCCACCATCTACGACGTTACAACAGCGAGTGACAAGACAGAGAAGTGAGACAGCCTCCTCCCCTCCCCTTGTAAGATTATATAACCAGCCGGACCAATCGCTGAAAATTATCATCTCGGTTGAAATAGATTACCTCTATTCAACCGCACGGGTAACTTTCCCGTGTGTCACTCTCTATTACGAGCCTTTGCTCCGGCTGCTAATTGTGATTGATTATGTGACTGTGTAACGAAGTGGCGGCCAAGGACAAAACCGTTGGGCTGTACGTGATGGTAGTGGGCCTTACCGCGGATGTAGACTCCCATCCCGACCCTTGCTACCCGGTAGAGCATCTCGCTGCCATTATCTGTCAGGTGACATTTCCTAGATCCTTTTCTATCTAATATGATGCAGGTAATATCTCCTTGAAACGTTGACGAGGGCTTTGGGAGTCATTGGTGTGCCTGGTGTGCCTAGTGTGCCCCGGGTGAGCCCTAGCATATGGAAAATAACCCGACCGTCGATCAACTAAGCAACCATACTCGGTATGGGGAAGAAGCATGGGTCGTAAATGACGTCCTATCAGGCCATGTATCCTACGAAGTCCCGTTTCCCAATATTTGATATTTATGAGAAACACATATATATCATACATATTATACATCGGTATAGCCTAACTCAACAAGCTGGAACTCAACAAGCAGCAAGTCCTCCCGCCGGCAGGTAAAGCTTTTTAGTCAGATATTCTATAATCCGATTATGGCCCTAAAGAGACTTTAAGCTTATAAGACATTGAGTTAGGGCGTGCATAGCGGGAGTAGCGGGAACCAATGGGAGCGGAGCCGACCCTTAAACTTAATTCAATTCTTCAGCTTCCATTCTCGCAGAATTGCACATACAATACCTTTCGGTAGCTTCCTCAGTTTTTGCCCACAGCCAGTTCTCCCACCGGTTAGTGACGATCGTGATATCACCGGCCACCTTACGCTTGGACGATAGGTACCTACCCAACCCAAGGTAAGGTAAGCCTGACCGACCGGGAACTTTCACCGTACCGAAATACAAACTCGATTGGTTCGACATCATCCAATCTCCCCTGAATATAATTACCTATCCCCGGACCCAAACCATACATTGAAAATTGCCTAGAAAGAAAAAGGGTAAAATACAAATTAATTAAGGCACACCGAAACAAAGACTTCCAACCATGGCGTCCCTACGACCTTTCAATCGCGTCGCGGAGCAATTACGACTACGGACACGCATCGCATACCCATACCCCTCTACAACCCCCACGACGTCCGGGTTCTTGAGCCGCAGATGCAGCGCACGGTTCTACTCGAGCGAAGAGGCGCCGCCGCCGCCGCCGCCGCTGCTACAAAAGATTAAAGGCGACCTGAAGACAGCGAGTGCGTCACCTCCATTTCCGCCGACTTTGCCGTCCCGCGAAGCTCCGTTAGCTACCTCTCTAGACAAAAAAAAAAAAATAGCTAACCGACTTTGACCCCCCCCCCTCCAGTGCGCGCCAAAGACGCCCCCCGCCTAACCGCCATCCGCTCCGTCCTCTCCGCCGTCCTCAACGCCTCCAAGACCGCATCCCCCATAACCACCGACGCGCAACTCGTCGCGCTCCTGCGCAAGTCCCAGCGCGCCTCCGACGACGCCGCCGCCGAGTTCCAAGCTGCCGGCCGCCAGGACCTAGTCGACAAGGAGCGCACCCAAGTCGCCATTCTCGGCGAGTACGTCGCCGCAAGCGGATTCCGAGAAACCTCCGAGGCCGAGCTGCGCGCCATCGTCGCCGGCGTCCTTACCGCCATGACTAGCGAGGCTGCCGCCTCCGTCCCGCCCACCGCCGATACCCCTCCCTTCGGCGACGTCATGAAGACCCTCCTGGCTCCCGCCGGGCCCCTTGACGGCAAGGACGTCGACAAAGCCCAGCTGGCCAAGATCGTGAAGGAGCTGAGGGCCGCCAATTGATGCGCGCAAGTAGTCTAGCCCTCTCGGCACTATAGGTAAGGGAAAAGGAAAAGAGAGGGGTATGAGATACGTGTATAAATGCCTGTACTATATATACCTACATGATGAGGAATACGGCTACGATTGCATTGCATCAACCGGCGCATGAAATTTCGGCTGGGTTTAAAATCACATCTTCACTCAATAAAACATCTGCGAGCTTACCTCGCGGTTGGGTCCCCGCATAATGATACTATTATGATGTGATAATAAATGCGTGAGCGAGGACAGCGAAAGGTTTAGAAAGTCATTTGCTTGGTCAGAGAACTAGTCCCGAAGTCCTAGCGAAAAAGGCCTCAGGGGTTCATGTATATTTGGAGTACCGATTAATTCATAATTCCAAGGTATCTATATCTCCTCACTGCGTAGCCCACAGCTATGCCTTGCGCCAACTATTTTCGTCTCGCCTAAACGCCTGTCATAAGTCTCAATCCGTAAGATATCCTGGCCGCGCTGATGCATCGTGTCGGAAGCTTCATAACTGACATGGGACACTTATGCAGCGGCGTCCTCCTCGTTACGTGGACCCGAGAAATCAGTTCCTTGATTAGCAGTTGCTAGTCTCGCGCACAAGCTTAGTAGAACCACGGTCTCCGTGGCCGCGTAATGGTTTAGGGCGTCTAGCAGGATTTGCAAATGCCGGCTGAAGTTCTTCTCCCAGTTTCTGATGATCTCAAATAGGTTGTTGACCCGGGTCTCCTCATCCTGGAGATGGCTGTTTGACCCGCTATCGCTATGCGACTTCTGAGACTTTATAGCCTGGAATCGTTTCCACTCCTTGTCAGTCATATTAGGTGGTTTTATAGGGCCGATTAAATCCGGATCGGACTTTTCAAGCTCGCGCGACAGCCAATTCATATGAGCGGCGAATACGGTGCAGGTCTGCATTAGTTTCGAATGGATCTAGAAATATGTGAGCGGAGACGCGGTAGCCGCAATAATTTGTAGCCACTTACTCGAATTAACTTGCCGTTGGTTAGCATGCAACCCTTCAGGCAAGTGTCCAAGAAATCCACATGATCCTGCATCAACTCATCCACGGTCCGGTCTGGTTTGCCCGACCCATCTAAACTTCCATCCTTGGCTTTGAGTCTTGACATCAGAGACTGCCAATTGGGCTCAATGACCTCTAGAGTGCAAAAATAGAGGAGCTGTTGGACAAAAACCACCATTCGCGCCCTCAAGGTCCACACTCGCCTCTTCCAAATTTCAATACGTCTTATGGACGACTTGTGGCACCAAACAACCCCTGCATTGTGCGTTTGCCATGTAGTCGCTAGCTGTGACTCCAGATATCTCAACGACAGAAGATAACGGAATAGCGCTTGGTAACGCCATACTGTCTTCCGGCTAATGACCAACGATACGGGAAACGGTACTGTGTAGTCGAGCTGCAGCGAGGTGAAGCCGACTGCATTTTTATCGTTTTCGATAGGCTGGTTGCTTAGAGGCTGTAGCGCCTCCCCTTGCTCAATACCTGTGATGTTTACGACTCGTTGCAACATCTTGATTAGGCCGACCTCGTTCACCTCGACATGTACATCTTCTTTAAATGGGTCCATAGATACAATACTGCCCGGCTGCCGTAGAACGAGATCGAGGAGAGACTGCAGCTTGACGACGTTGACAGACTTGACCGGCTTTCGCAGTTCCGATGCGCTGAGTTCCATAAAATAGGTAAAATAATCAGACGGATCGAGGAAGAAGTAATGCTTCAGTGACTGCAGCCTAGCAGGAAGAGCATGAGTAGTTAGGAGTAACTTCATAAGCGATTCATTCGCATGAGCATAAGCGTTATTGACATTGTCGAGAAAGTGCGGATCGTCGAAGGACTTGGGAACATCTTGGGCGACTTTACTAACGTCGACTCCGCCACATTCCCGCACAACGTTGAGATACTTCCCTGCCAACAGGACCTTTTCCTTGACGGCTACTAACTGTGGAGGTATGTCATGCTCTCGGACGGTATATCGTCTTTCCCAGTAATCGTCGGTGTAGTCCTGCTCTAACCTGTCGCGTCTAATACTCTTCTGCTCCTTAATAAGGAATTCGGAATGCGGGTCTCTGATTTCGCCATGATGTAACCACTCGTTCAACATCGCCATGTACGGTCGGCTAGCATCGCGTAGCAAGGATGTGAGTAATGATCTGGCCGCAGGGTCTCCAGACATGGTTTCCAATCTCTTAGTAATTAGACCTATAACCACGCCGCCCTTACAAACCTTCTTTCCGGTCATATTTCCCGGTACAAGTTCGCCGCCCCGCTTCAAATTTTCTAGGATATTTTCAATATCGTCAGGGTCTGAGTCCTCCGAGCTCTCGTCATCCAAAAGCGCGTTCCTCTTGAGAAATTCGTGAGCTAGTGAATAGAGCTGGAACATCATCTGACTTGTAGGGAGTGTATGGACGTTGAGGAGATGTAAGGTGAAAGTATCATTGGTCAAGAACTGGGTTTCCAGCTGCGCAACCATTATCAGATAGTCGTGTAAGGACTTCCTAATTGCAGCACATAGGGCATGGTTGACAGCCCCAAATTCTTCCCTGCTCTGCACGTCGACAAATGTCTCAAGGGCCGAGTAGTAAGTAGCCATTTTGAGCATTGATAGAGTTAGGTCTTGAAGACTAGGATCGAGACCGGGAAGTATCTTAAATTCGGGTCCGGCCAGTCGGTCCCTCTCCTCGTTGGGGTCGTAGGAATAAGCATAGCGAACATATTGCCCCTCGTATCCCATAAAAACAAATAATAAATCCTCGATTATAGCGGCCTCTTGGGCCTCTAAGGATAGTTCGTGTAGAGGCTGCGGTTGCAGCGAGAGTGGCGCTTCTGACGCCGAAGGAGGTATGGACACGCGTATCGCAAGGGGCGCAGATGTATGCGGCGTTAGGTTAGCTACGGGTTCCCATGATGCTAGTAGTGAAAAGAAATTAGTCCAAGTTCCAAGTTCCAAGTTCCCTCGAGGTGAAATCTCACTAATCTGAGACATACTAGGCGGCGCGTCAGGCTTTGAATCTCTCGACTTCGTGTCTGACTGGCGCGGCTTGGGCACCTCTTTTGACTTCCGTTTTTCTGGCGGAGGCGCATCCCTAGACCGTCTTTCGGGGCTCCTCGTCCTCGAGATTAGCTTCTCTTTGGTAGTCACTGTCGTGCGCTCGGTCCTTCGTTCTTCGGCAGTCCTACTAACTGGTCGCGGATTGCCTGAGGCACTACGCTTATGAGGGGGATTGATATTGGCGGTCTGGGGAGAACGAGTGCTTCGTTGATCATGTTGAGATTGAGAAGCTCTTGAAGCATGAGCATTTGCGCGGGGTCGCGGGTTGCTATCATTATCGCTAGTGCCATTCGTGCGCCTCTCTGAGTAGTTGGAAACCCTCGAAGACATTGTCACTATAAGGCGACATTGGGAACGCCTTTTGCTGCGGTATCATGAGTGGTCGACTAATGTTGTTGTTGTATTTATTTAGATATGTACCTAGTCCAGGGTAACCTTAGGTGGGAGGTTTAAGCTTGTGTCCGTTGAACCTTATCGACAATTGGCTGATGGCAGGTCGCGTTGAAACTGAGCAAGCGCGTCCAACCACCAACAAGGGATGGTATATGCATATATTACGTATATAAGTACTTCGTACCTACGGATACCTACATATATCACATGGTAATTGTTCCTCAAACCCTTTATTATTATTCCGTACTTTCATCCCTAACACTCAAAATGCCTAGCTTTTTTCTCGTAGACAGCCTTAATTATTATTATATCCTTTCGTTGGTATAATCTACCTCGTTGACCGTATGTGTAAAAGCTATAAAGCCTACATGTGCCTACATGTAATCATCAATATTGGTGGTTCATTCGTATCGTCCTGCTCTGTATCCCTTGGCATCCATGTATTGGCCCTTCCCACTGAATCCTCCCCCTCTCTGAAAAGTTGATCATGGTTTCTGGTTTTCTTGCCTTAACAGATTGCAGAGTTTCCCTGCGCACCTTAATCCACTCCCGAAGATAGCTGCGGAATGTTTCTGCGTCACAATCCAGCTTTGTTCTTACAGTCCACCTAGGCAACTTCTCTATAGATTCGGTATTCAAACTATACACACCATTCTCGCGTTGTGAATTTTGGACTTGTTCCTCCTCAGCGGTAAAATCAAGTGTGATCAGCTCGTAGAGAGTCCACGTAACACTCCAAAATTCTTCGATCAGGTTCCGCTGCGTAGCCTCTCTGGCCATACTGAAGTCGCACAGCACAAGCCTGTCAGCGGCTTCGTCGACCAGTATATTACCCATGTGGAGGTCGCCGTGGACAATGCCTAGAGATACGTTAATAGTCATGGACTAAAGATCGCCTTGTTACGGCAGGGTTTTACCTTGATCGAAGTGAAGAAAATCCAGAGCTTCTGTAAGCTGCTTGAGCCACTTCAACTTAAAGGTTCGGTCTTTATTGCGATTAAGATTACCACCGGGGACGAATTTAGTTCCCATTCCAACGATGCAATTGTTGTTGTCTAGTATAAGACGATCGATAGGAAGTATAGAAGGATGAAGCTGCTGCGTCTTCAAGATGTTCATTTCTTTCCATATATTTCCCTTTGCCGTATCACTAGAAACGTATTTAACAACCAGTCGAGTTTCAGGGTTGTCAGCCAGCTGTACAAGGTGAACTCTAGGTGTGAACCTGTCTAATGTAATTAATTCGGCATATTGAACCCTTGGCCAATCAGCAAATACGGTATCAGCAAGGTACGCCATGGTGTAAAATCGCTCTTCTAATCAGGATAGAGTAATTTTTCCGAAGCAAGTCTTTATCTAGTATTCTGAGTTGTAAGTAGATCCCTTTCGAGCTAAAAAGTATGAAGTGTAAAACGATCTACAGTACTCATGGATGGCTTAGATGTAGGTAGACGAGAAAAATAATATCAAAGTCAGCCAAGTCTTTGTTTGCGTAAAAATGGTTGATACGTCAAGAATATTGCCCTAGTCAGTTCCGAAACCATATTCCTAGGAACAAAGAAGAAGAAAAGGAACGTTACTTGCCGCAATTGTTTTATGATTATCAATGTAGTGCATTTATTGACTTCGGTAAACATAATTCCCATTTGCTTGTTTTAGGAAGACACAAAACAGCGGCTGTCAACTAAGGCGAATAAATTTTATTGAAATAACCGCACTGTCGACAGTGATTTTTAAACTATATAAATATGAAGGAAAATTGATTAATTTTATTACCAGAAAGCAGTTTTGATTCGTTGGTACTATTCGGGAAATGCCTCTCTTGTATAGCCTACAATGGCTAAAGATCCTAAAATAATAGACCTACGATATATAACAAGAGATTTATATTATCGATATAGATATGCTCCTAAATGTATTTGTGCCAAGTACATATATTCCTCCGCTGAATGTGGGCATCTTGCGCGAGAAGCCAAATACACATGTGATGAAAGAAATAATCGAAATAATCAACGTAAACGACATAAACGACATAGCAATAGGGACATAAGTTTATGTCCTAAAAGTGCAAAATTACCAACGGTTAACGTTACTGAGGCTCTTATAAAGACCAGGTGCAAGAATTGTGTTAAAGCCAATGAGCGATGGAAGCCACAAGGTGATGGGGGAAGCATAGCCTCGAATCTTCAAAACGAAAAGAACGTAAACGAAGAATCAGCAACTAAGCAGCTTGAGCAACTTGATCTATTAGAGAGACCGAGTATACTGTCGTGAGCATTACAGCCGGACGAAGTCAGGCCAGGGAAAGCAAAATCAGACGAAGTGAAGTAACATAATGAAATGGACATCAACTTCATCATAAACTTTTAAGCTTCAGTTTTAGCTGTCTACTAATCCAATAGGCCGAACACATTCTTATTACTTGACATGGTTTTTATGCCCGACTAATAAGAAAGGTTTGGCATGGTCTGAAATTCTCTTGGAGCTGTATAAACATCGTTTTATCATCAGGTAAGTTTTGTCATGAGTAGCCCTTGGTTAATAACCACTACAGAGTGACAGGTAACTAGCTGAAGAATAGCTTGAATATATTTGTTGTTGTTGTTGTTAACGCTTGCCTCTTCTAAATCTATAAGGGAACCAAAGTTCCCTTATATATAACCTAACCAATGACTAGCTGGTAGATAGCTCCAAACTAAGTCTTAAAACCTTTATCCTGCGCCTATCGTAATCCTTGTCATCTGACAAGTTTAGATGCTCTATATGCTGATAACATTACCAACGAAATAACCTAACTTGTGAATACATAGAAGTGATTGCATTGGTGCTGGTAACGAGTACACTCCTGTTGTATAGTGTATATTGCTATACCGTGGATGAATTTATTTGCATTTAATAAATGTTAAACTACCATGCCCTCTGGCATATAAATCTATTATTGATCATAATGTGATTGTCTCATATGCATATATCCCCTACTCAGTACCTTAAGCGCATATCTTATCGATAATAAAATAGTCCCGCAATGCTAGTGGTCAAAGCTCCATATTATAGGCCCAAGCCCCGGTTGGTGCAAACACCTAACCCGAGCTTCGTAAACGGTAGCAGCCTTGAGCTTTGGAGCTCAGTACCTAAAGTAAATGTAGCACCTACCTACCTAAGATCCTAAGGTTAGCCTCTCTTTACCTCTTTACGAAAGTAGATTCAGCCTCCCGCTCCCAATCTCAACCACATCCACTCCAAACGACGCATAACCCTCGACCGAACGACCCCATAACCTTCTTTTAGAGACGGTCTCCCTTGTAAATCTTTCAAAATGTTTATGGCAAGATCTGAATACGGTAAGCCAGCTGTGCACCCAATCCCCAAAGCTTCTGATAGCCTGTATTGTTAGATTATTAGAGGTAGCTAATGCAATGGACGTCAACCAGACCGGGGTATCAAGTACGCCCTCCCCTCCCGAACGCTTGCTCCCCCCCCCTCCCTCCACTCTTGCTAACGTCGCATTCTCAGCACCTTCTCCCCGGAGGGACGTCTCTTCCAGGTCGAATACTCGCTCGAGGCTATCAAGCTCGGCTCGACGGCGATCGGCGTCGCAACGTCAGAGGGCGTCGTCTTGGGCGTGGAGAAGCGCGTGACGTCGACGCTGCTGGAGACCTCGTCCGTCGAGAAGATCGTCGAGATCGACCGCCACATCGGGTGCGCCATGTCCGGGCTGCAGGCCGACGCTCGCAGCATGGTCGAGCACGCCCGCGTCGAGTGCCAGAGCCACAATTTCAACTACAACGAGGACCTGCGCGTCGAGAGCTGCACCCAGGCCATCTGCGACCTCGCCCTGCGCTTCGGCGAGAGCGCCGATGGCGAGGAGAGCATCATGAGCCGTCCCTTCGGTGTCGCCCTTCTGATCGCTGGCTACGACGAGGACGGCCCCCAGCTCTACCACGCCGAACCCAGCGGTACCTTCTATCGCTACGACGCCAAGGCCATCGGCTCCGGAAGCGAGGGCGCACAGGCAGAATTGCAAAATGAATACCACAAGGTACATATATCTCCGTATTCTACGAAACTAACGTAACTTGGAACTCTATTAACACCACTGTGTAGTCCCTTACGATCGTAGATGCAGAGACTCTAGTCTTGAAGACGTTGAAGCAAGTGATGGAGGAGAAGCTCGACTCCAAGAATGTGCAGTTGGCGAGCGTGACTAAGGAGCGAGGCTTCAGGATATACACGGACGAGGAGATGGCTCAAGTCGTGGAGAGACTACCCGCCAACTAGGAGGAAGGTCAGAGAATTGGATCGCGGCGAGCTGGTACTAGCGGAATATCAATCTAGTACAAATAGACAAGGGGTTAGGACAGAAGATTCTACCCCGTTAAGCTTTATGACACCCGAGATTTTCTGAGAAGGTGGACTTTGTATTAAGTATCACCAAATCTCATGTACTATCTTATACAAGCAAGCCGTCCGCCGTCGATCCCCTCCTCTCCAAGTTATTCCTCCCTTACATAGGGTACCTAAGATATCCAACGTAATCAACCGTATTTTTCTCAGACGCCTACTCTAAGCCCCCATCTCTCTAGTCCGTACAATCATGAAATATTCCAGTCCATTTTCACGTTATCACACTCCCCTTTAAATTGGAATTTTGAAATTTTCATATCCCTATCACATACCTTAGGCACTTCCCCTGTAGACCCCTAAGCAGTACCCCTCTAGTTCCAGTTACCGCCGATCCCGCTCACTAGCCTCCAGATCCAGCTTCTCGAGGTCATGCTCGACAGCTAGCAACCCCATCGCGTAGGAAGCTTTCTCGCCCTTGGCCAGCACGATCTTGGTTTCGTCCCCGTTGATCTCCTGAATGCGCTTGTCGATGCGGCGGGCGTTGACCCATACGGAGCCAGGGGGGTCGATGCTGAGGTTGACGGAGCGCGCGTACGGCGGGCCGCGGCCTAGCTGCGCCGCCTTGGTCCACGACGACTCGCATCCCACTGCGATCTGCCGCGCCGACTGCCACCCCGTCAACCGCGCGATGTCGTGTAGTCGTTGGATCAGCCATTGCCGCTGGAAATCGTCATGGTACTGTTTGTGTAAGTGAATATAAACGGAGAATTGGGGGTTGAGATTGGGTTAGTTTTGTTCGCTTACCTGGATACCTGCGACAAATAAGGGGAAACAGCACTCTATCAGCGCGGCTGCCATGAGCGTACTCACGTTGGCGAGATGCGCGATATTCTCTTCTAGGCCGGCAGCAATCCGGCCCACCTCCATGCAGTACGAGGCAGTCGTCCGCGCGGAAATACCCGCAGCCATCATGGCCACGGGCGGCATCGTGGGATGAGCTCTATGGAGTATGATTAAGCCCATGTAGTAGTTCATCCAGACGCCCGCGATGGAGTAAGTCCTGTAGTGCGCGGCGAGGCCAAACGGTGTTGCCCTGGCGGGGTAAACGTCGGTACCGAGGGCCTCGAACTCGGGACCGAAATGGCTCCTGAGTATTTCGAAGGCCCGCTTGATTCCCTCCCACTCGCGATACGCCTCGGCGGTACTAGCGTCGAGGTCGATATTCTCGGGGAGCCCATCGCTCGGTGGTGATGTTTCCCTCGGTGGGGTGAATCCCATCGGCACCGTGATGGTTTCGGGGTTACGAGGCACCATGCCCGGGAACATTCCCGGGGATCCCCCGCGCCCGGGACCGGGACCGGGACCGGGACTGGCCATCTTAAAGGTTTTCCGTTTTCGGCTTAGATCCTTGGATGCAAAGTTTGCTAAGCGGCCAAGCAATAGCATAAGGTGGTCGTACGTGCCATATCTAACAGCCGTGTTAGTGTTATATCGGGACGGATAAAATGGGTGACTTACATAGCATCAAGCCTTCCTATTGGGGCCCTCGGCGGGCATTGAGTCCATGCATCATACTCGAGGCTTGGCTGATCAGTACGGCTATATTATAGAGTCCACAGCGTGATGCGAACTTACAATAGTCTTGTTCCACCTAGTACGCTCTGGTAAACATCTTGTTTGCAGTACCACCAGAAGAGGTCGCTCAATTGTTGGTATGTTTCCATGTCCTTATCTGTATGCTGATATCTCGACCTGGGATATGCGCTGTGCTCTTCGGGAATCATTCCTAACTCATCAAACGAGACATCCTTGCCGGTTATCTCACTTAGTAATTGGACGTCTAGATGATCCCAGTCTTTATGCATGGGAGTTGTCTCCTCATATGTCGTGAACATTCCAAACGCGTCTATCGGAGGCTGTTGCATTTCCTGCATTCTCTGCTGGTATTTAATTCTCATCATAGCTCGAGTCATTTCTGCGAACGGTATTTCTTTGATGATTAAACGTGCTCCTAATAGATGTCTGCTCCATTTGTCATGATCGGAGTTCCACACTTCATAGAATGCCAATACTAATGTTGCCGCCAGGTTTGCTGGTTGAGACCGCCTATTTGGCCGACCCACGTTTCGCGCAATTCTCCTCAAAGCTAGGTGATAGTGCTTGAGAGATGCTGTTGGTGGCAGAGCTTGAAGTTTTGCAATCTGCAAGCTAGCAATTGCGAGCACGGCGTGGAGGAGAGCTGGGTGGGTAAAAGACAAAATTGGGAAGGTATCTATATAAATTAGTGACGAGAACTGGTAAGAGCGCAGAAAGCTGACTTACAGGTCCAGATATGCTGACGAGACTTCGGTATAGGTTGCCCCTGAAAGATGGGCGACGGATCAATAGGATACCTTTCATACATGGATATGCTAGGTCCGGTTACGTTCACAAAATGCCAGAATACTCCCGCTATTTGTTTGTCGTTCAAGGGAGAATTGGACGGTGACGGCTCATACGCCGCAAGGTCAGGAGCAAAGGCTGAGAAGGTTCTCGTCTGGGTTCCGAACGTGTCATACGGCTGGTCAAGTCTCTGAAAAGCGACTACCCCGAGGTCGTTGAAGTCGAGAGACGTGCGCCGCGCACTAATTGGCACATCATCCGACTCTGCCATGGACTCATCATCTGATACGGGGTATTCCCATTCCTCGTACTCATACTCTGTGACCTGGATATGCTGTTCAGGTTCAGCACGAGCCTTGCCTTTGTCTAGTTGGATATTGCCTGGCTGTTGTTGCTGCTGGGGCAGAACAGGGGCAAAATTTTGGGCAAGATTCTCAGGGGCAATAGGTGAAAGCGAACCGAAGTTTGTAGGCTGTTCCTGCCTCCACTGATGTTGAGAGAACGCATCGACAGTGGTTGGTGGAAAGAAGGTATACTTCGGTTGCGCAGATTGAGATCCGAGTCCGTTGGGATCGAAGCTCATAGGTGATGTGGTTTGCCCAACTTGGCCGGGGTAAAATCCAGGCACTTGAGGGTATCCCACAGGCGGTTTAGGGGCAATGATTTGTAAAGCCTGCGATGAAGACTTTTGTTGCGCCGCCGATAGCTGCTGTTCTCTTACCAATGCCTGAGGAGAGGGTGCTGGATAATGTATCGGTCCAAAGGGGGCATTGGCAAATGCGCCTAAAGGGTCTTTGAAAACAACTCGTTGATTGTATCCATCACATTGCCGCTTCGATTTCAAGCAGTTGTTACAAGTCGGCCTACCCTCGTCACACTTTATTCGACGTTTTCGGCAGGCTTAACGGTAGTTAGCTGGCGCTATTCACACGATCTAGGAGCACGAGACTGCTACGTACTAAGGCAACCCGTCTTCGTTCGTTTCCGAACAATCGGTTTCTTAGGCGCCAAATTATCGCCATCTCTCTCTTCTGGTGTTGATGACCGAGGAGGTTGAGATATCGCGGACGCGTCCCCCGTTGGCTCCCCCGCTGAATTCATCTTGGAAAATGGTGTTTAACGTACCGCCTAATCTTATTACTGTGAGGTGGTGGCTGATTATCTTGTAGTCTAGTGGCTTAAAGATATCAAAACTGTCACATGGTATTCAGACGATTGGCCCGATTTAGGGCAGGGAGAGTGCCGACTACAGAACGGCGCCGAACATACTCGGGGGGGAAGTCCTCTCAATTCAGGAAAAGAGCGTTTCCAATGCGGATAGCGACTATGGCAGCCTCTGACGTCTTGTCTACGCAGGACTTGGAATCGGAAGATGAATTACGATACAATAATTCCCGCGGTTCCGACTGGCTAATGGAATGAGACATTCAAGGCAGAGGCAGGAGTATTGTAAAAAAAATTATACGAAGAGATGAAGGTCACGACTTGCTTCCATATAGTTTATATCGCTCCGTGAAACATCCAGTGCGACAGAAGAGAATCGGAGTACTCTTGCTGGCGTGGGCAATTGGGGACACTCAACCCTCGAAGAGTAAGACTGGGTGCGACATAGGGAATGTGAACTGGATATGACAGCGTCTAGACCTAAGGGGCAAGTCAGTCAATCTAGTATGTACAATATGTAGATGGTTGCACGCTCGCACGGGGAACATGGGGTGGGAATTGGTGGGGGTGTAGCTAGTTGTTACCAGCCTGCCAGCGCTGTCGAACCTGGGCAAGGATAAGACCACAGTATATATGTACTAGATACTAGTATAGGTATACTATGTATGTAGTAGGTTCTGCTTTCTAGACCTCGGCAAGGCTGGGCAAACTTGCTAGGCTAGACAATCCTTGAAATGTTACGGTGTCATTGGACTTTTTCAGCTTAGGTCCAGCTTCCGGGTGGAGCAATCCAGACTCCAGACCCGGCCTCAGCAATAGATCCGTCGCTAGAGCCGACGCCATGCACCGGTTAGGAGAAGTAAAGTAATAGGGATTTTTCGACGGTGACCAGTTCAAGGACCCGGTGAAATTCAACACTATCACCGCAAACCTGACAAGGTATATCCTACAACAGGCCAATTCTATGCATGTATAAGATATAATACCCTCTCTCAGACTAAAGGGGACAGCGGACGACTAGAAGAATACGGCTTACAATTTCAGTCGCCCTATTTGCTAGCGTTAAAGAGCTACAACACCACGTGAAGAAGAAGTATGTGGTATAACGGCGGAACAGGAGCATATGTCAAAATGCCGTATGGGACCCTGTATTGCAATGGCTTTGTATGTAACAATAGATGCCGAGCCCGAGGCCGTGGTGATGCGATACGCTGGAGGGGTCCTTCGAAGCTGCATACAACCAGAGTCGTTCAAGTCGCGGTAGATCGAAGTGCGACGTCTGATGATGCGCCTGCAGCTGGGGTCTATTTCCTGCGACCTGGAAATTTGTCTCGTAGAGATAATTGCTCATATAGCCTACCTGTGCTACCGAAAATGCGCATCTATTCGTGGCGAAGACGAATTGTCCTACACATAAGTCACGGTTTGTTGGCTGATGATCAATTCGCGCTTCTAGACATACATAACAGAACTAAGCTCCGTAGCTTGTGCGGGCTGCTGCGCAGATGTCTTGACCTCTCTTATCGTGGAGTTTGAAGAAAGTGGACTCATACACGGAGGGAAACCCGGCTGTTGTAGATCATGAGCTTACGGGCGAAGGAAAGCGGAAATCCCTAAATCTCTTTTCCTTCCTTAGACGGGTAACTTGAAGCTATTTCTTCGTGTTTCATTTCACGACTTCGCAGAGGACATGACACAACGTCATCAATTCAACGTAGTCGAGCCCTGTCATGCTATGGCCAACGGGATCCAAAAATACCTAGGCTGAGTTAGGTATAGCAAAGTCCGAGTGTTGTAGCCTTCCCGCGTGTCTCGGGAGGGGAAGCCTCGAGCCCTTCCGGTTGACGCAGAAATTGCATGGTAAAGCTTCTTGGGCAGTATTGAGGAGTTGGGCGTGGCCGCGATTGTAGACCATACGCACCATACGTATACACCAGTATGGGCCGAAGCGTCAAGAGTCACGACATAGAAACAGTGTGTCGTAATGCAGAATATGCGATGCTATATCCCGTGACCCCGCTCAGATGCAGAAAACGGCCGTTGCATATCCATCAATGAGAAGAGTGCTAGCTAGGTCGGCTTATTGCTATGGCAGCGAAAAAGCTAAGCCGGGGAAGCTGTGTCTATGCTAGTGCGGAGGCGGGTAAAGACATGAACCCTCTAGCTGGAAATCTGAGCCAGAGTCTGTGTCACATTGTAGCGACGAAGAGCTGCGAGCTGCGAACTGCGAACTTCGAACTGCGAGACTTACAATATTGGTGTGTCTTGATGTCCATGGATTCTCCGTTGACGATCTGGGTCAAGTCAACCGATACATAGGTATCAACGATAGGAGGGCCTGCTTGTAGCTGACCAGCCGTCGTGTAACTGTCGATCGTACTGTGGAGGCCCTGGTCTTCCCTTCTCGGAGCCCTACCCGGCCGTAGCAGCATTTATGAGCAATATTGCTCTGTTCGTAACCCTGCTCGGTGACCCAGGTGTTTCATCCAGTTGTAGCCTCATGTAGGGTTTGGCTTATTATATATAATGTATTAACCTAGATTGAAGCTACCTAGGTATATTATTAGTGACTTTGATAAATTTAACTGATCTTGTTTGTTGCGATCGTAAGGACAAGAACTTCAAAGGCAATATCGGGTAGGAAGCTTCATTGCACATTGATTGGAAGAAGAAGAAGCTTAGCTTAGGACTTCCATCTGCGCATTTATTCAAAACTTTTTAAAGTTGATAACTAGACCCTATCCACTATCTACATATCTATACACGTGACTGATGATATTCGCAATGGATGTTACCGCAATTTTGCGGGGTCCTTCGCCAAGCTCAAATGGTACATAGTACATCGTTCCAAGGTTCCTGCGCTAGTAATCCCTGCAAAAAAGTTTAGACGACTTGCTGCCTCTAAATCTTTCTATTCGACTTTTCGAAGTTATTCAAGTTATTCTTAACAGAACTCATCGTTAAGAGCTGATACCATAATCAAGGAACTTTTAGCATATTGCCACAACTACAATTGCCTTCTATTAAAATGTTTGCGGTGCCAGGTTGGTCCGTGTCTGCGGACGGTCTCAAACCCGAGACCACCACAGTGGCTCCAAAAGCGGCTCAAGATGAATCTCAGCAGTCAAACAAGCGCAAGAGGCCCTCATCCACACCAGGAAATGTCAACTCGTCCAATGTTGCAGATCTCTGGGAACGAGTTATCGAGGGAAGGTCGGGGAAGAAGGCCAAACCTGATAATGACCAGAGTGGTGAAACCCCAGAAGGCAGGCCCAGATATGGCAAGAAGATGACTTTAAAAGAGAAGAAGAAACTGAAGAAGTTAAGAGAGAAGGAAGCGAGCCAAAATAGCGTGGAGGGCGCCGAGCCGGTTACTGGAAATGACAACAAGCCAACCTTGGAGTCACCTGATGCTACAATAGGCAAGGAGGCAAAGAAGGACAAGAAAAGGAAATCCAAAGACGAAAAGGAAAGCGGCGACAGCAAAAAGCCCAGTGAAAAGGACAGCAGCAAAGTCTCTGCCCCCGCCGCCGCCGCAGCACCGAAACTAACGCCCATGCAAGCCGCAATGAGGGAGAAGCTCGTGTCCGCGCGGTTCCGCCACCTCAACGAAACGCTATACACCAAGCCCTCAGCCGACGCCTTCCAGCTGTTCCAAGACTCGCCCGAGATGTTCCAGGAGTACCACGAGGGGTTCCGGCGCCAGGTCGACGTCTGGCCCGAGAACCCGGTCGAGGGGTACATCAAGGACATCAAGCTGCGGGGGCGGCAGAAGCCTCCCCAGCGCTCCTCCAAGCACGGACACTCTGCTCCCCCCACGCCTAGCTCCTCCGGCGTGGCGGCCCTGCCGCGCACCAACGGCGTGTGCACGATTGCGGATCTGGGCTGCGGAGACGCTAAGCTCGCCGAGGCTCTACAGCCCGAGAAGAAGAAGCTGCGACTTGAGATCCTCAGCTACGACCTGCAGAGCCCGAGCCCGCTGGTCACACGCGCCGATATCGCGAACTTGCCGCTTGCCGACGGTGCCGCCGACGTTGTTATCTTCTGCCTCGCGCTTATGGGCACTAACTGGCTCGACTTCGTGGAGGAGGCCTATCGTATCTTGCACTGGAAGGGCGAGCTGTGGGTTGCTGAGATCAAAAGCCGGTTCGGGCTCGTGGGTAAGGGCAAGGGTAAGAACGGGGCCCCAGTTACTCACAGCGTGGGGAATAGGAGAAAGACCCAGGGGAAGAAGGGGAAGGGACGGGATGCGGAGGGGCCTGAGGGACAAGAGGATGAGACGGCGCTGGCTGTCGAGGTGGATGGCGCGGATGACAAGCGTGAAGAAACTGACGTTTCTGCGTTCGTCGAGGCATTACGGAAGAGGGGTTTCGTTCTGCAGGGTGCAGCCGACTTAAGGAATAAGATGTTCGTCAAGATGCACTTTATCAAGGCAGCATCGCCGACCGTTGGCAAGGGCGCTGTTGCTTCCAAGGAACCTACACGCGGCTCCGGGCCCAAAAAGAGCGGCGTCAAGTTCATCGACACAGAAGGAGACCAAGCTACAGTGGATGAGAGCTCTATTTTAAAACCCTGCGTCTATAAGCTGCGGTAAAAGGGGCGAGCTATCTGTTATCCGTACACGTGCTATCCATTACCTACGCACATCAGGCAGAACTGTAACTTTCTAATCCATAATAGACCTTGATTCGAAGTGCGCCCTATTAATTTGCTCCAACTTTGGCAAAAGCACATGCCGTGCTTGACGAACCTCTCTAATGCCTTCGGGCTGCGCGCACGTAAGAATTCCTATTATCAATGCCCCATGCTGCGCCCTAGATCTACCTGCTATATCGAGTAGTTGTCACGCTATGCTGTTGCTGTTGCTCTTGTTACTGCTGCGTTCTTCGATTATGTGTACTGCGTCGTAAAGTGCAAGTGGGAGATTCGGGTTTATTAGTTGTTGAAGAGGAGGGACGCGGCGAATTCGACATTGCCACCTGTAGCTTCCAAAGCATTAATAGCGGCCTGCCTGTCCCAACCAAGCGCCACCAGTGTGTTGATGTCGTTTTCGGGGAACGTTCTTTGAGGCTGGACCTGAGGTTGAACTGGTGGTTGCGCGGGGCGAGCCACAGGAGCCGCAGGTCGTGATGCGCTAGGTGCAGAAGGGCCTGCGGACGAGACTTGGGGACCAGTAACGGCACCTGAGCGGGCACCAATAGTCGTGCCGCCAGGGCCTTGAACGGTTGGTTCCTGATTAACCGCCTCTTCAGTCTCCTTGGGAATGTCTGATTCGCCGAGGAATTCCACCTCCTCCCCTTGGATGATAAGCTTGTTGCGTACAAGATCGATAGTTGCTTGGTGACCTTTAAGAATGTCTAGACCGAGCAGCAGGTCAACTGACTTGCCCTCCATGACCGTGAATGCGGCCGCTAAGTGCTTCGTGCCTAGTTGCAGCATAGTGTAGTGGACACGGCCAATTATGTTTGCAGTTCCCACCCCGCGAGCTACTCCAGCGAACCGTCGGTCGACAAGGCGCATGATGTTGCATGCCTCGGCACAGGTCGGGGACATGATTGTGGCTTGGGCGCCAGAGTCGACCAAGGCCTTAACCTTCACACCATTGACCTTGACGTCGACGTAAAGGAGATGCACTCGACCGAAAGCTGCAAAAGAGGGGGTCAGAGCCTAGGGTTTGGATGTCCAAGGAAGAGCATGACTTACATTCGGGGTTATACTCCATAGCATTTTGGAGATTCTCCATAACACCTTGCTGGCGAATCATGTCCTCAATCTTGGCCTGGGACTCGGGATTGAACTCATCATTGTTCAGGGCCTCGATCTCCCGCATACGTGCTCGGCGTGCCTCCTCCTGCTGGTCTGCGCTCTGACGGAAAATCTGGGCAAATCTCTGAGGGTTCTCGAGGGCGGCGGCTAGCTGGGGGTTCGCTCGTTCGAGTTCGCCCCTCAGTCGAGAATCACCGAGGACTTGCAAGCGGATGAGCTCCGGGTCCTGGGCTACAGGAGCAGGCTGTCGTCTCTGTGGCTCGCGGTGAGCAGGCGCAACGCCAGTGTTGCCTCTCATATCCCGCACGTGCAGTGCTAGCATGTCTCCATCGGAAATGTCTAGCTCTTGCAACGTCTTGGAGTTGTCAGTGATGAGCTGGCCGTTGTGGTAGATGTTTTGCGACGGGCCAGGTATTCCCTCGGCCTCGATGGAGCTTCGGAGGTCGGCTAAGGTCATATCGGGAGGGACATCGAGGTTTATTAGTTGAAGCTCTTGAGCTTCGACGTCCGGATTGTTCACGTTCACGGTGATATGCCTGTGTTGAGCATTAGCTTCGGTGCGTCGAGGCCAAAGAGGACGGATGCAAGGGACGCGTGTGCCTGCTTACATTTTGACTTGTGATGACGGCTAAGTCGTCGCAGTACGGACCGTGAGGAGGTAATAAGGATGATGAGACAAAGTCGGGGGAAGCGGCGCAGCTAGGTACTGGCTCGGTTTGTCGTGAACTAAGACAGGTCGAGAGTGTGTGGTGTCTAGATCGGCGATCAAGAAAAAAATGGTGAAAAAATAATGGTGCAGAGAAGCAAAAGGCGACGAATAGAAGGTCGGAATGGGATGCTGTCTGCTTCGACGATGTAACACAGGCACATGCAACTTGGAACTGCGGCGGGCGAAGGCGGGTATATGATCCGAAGATGCAATAGTAAGGAAAGGTAGTTTACGTAGTAGTCTATGTGGTAGTATATGTATGTGTATGTAGGCGTATGTATGTAGGTGGACAGTTTGAGTTGTTGTTCCAGGTAATTGATCCTTTAGCGTGAGTTGCGTAGGTTTCGTAGGTTGCGTGGGCTGCGTGGGATACAACATGTAATCAGGCGCCGACCAACTACATCATAATATCCCCACTTTATCAGAAGTAAGTCCCGTCCCGTAGAACCCCACTACCAAAGCCTAGACTTTTTATTCGCGGGGGTTTCCTATAGGTTGCACCCCACCTGAATGAGATCTATGCCCTTAGCTGAGGCCTTAATGTGGCACGTAGGGCTGGCGAGTCCGCATAACATGAAGGAACAAGATCAAGATAATTGCTCTAACGAGGGAAGACACTTTATACGTTGATGCAGCTACGTAGTAGCATTGCACTAACTTAGGTACATTACGTATAGTTACTTTACCTGTTTAAAACCTTACGTCCCATTATAGGTAATAAATTATCTCGTATCCCCAACAGTTTATTTCTGCTGACTGAGATCCTCCGGAACAAATAGAAGCGTTCTACCACTTTCCTTGGTTATGCAAACTTTCGCGTATATATATTCTAAAGGCACGTAGTCAAACTGGCTCCTCTAATACTAAATCTGAAGTACATGCGATGCTCACGCCATCTAGCCTCCAGAGCCCTCTGAACGTCGTGTGGACTAACCCCTGTTTTTGACATATTAAATGCAACCGTATCTAATTAAATTAGGTAAACCAAACGACTCGAGCCAACTTCGCTAGGGATGTAGTCTCGAGATAGGAATATATATACTTAATACTTAATCCAGCCGCGAGAATCATTGAGCTATATAAAATTTAGACGTGTGTACGGGGGAAAGAAATACTCTTTGGTGTGCCGTAGTCCGTATATAACTTAGAGTACTCCCCTGTTCGTTATTAGATACCTACTAAAGTAAAAGAGTATATTACGCTCAAGAGTTATACTTGTTACCTAACCTTATAGTAACAGACAAGGTACCTAGACGCCCCTATGTATGCTCTATTTTAAAACTTTTAATTTAAGTTGTAGGTGAGGAGTGCATCCTGGTAATGCTCGCGTTGTATTCGAGAGTTTACTTAAGGTAGTATGACACGCTCTAAAATACGGAGGCTGTTAATGTGAATCGTATTCTCAATATTGCAAAGTAATGGATGTGTGTCGAAGTTACGGCTATAATATGATGTCAATATTAACCAACAATTTGGATATTATGCCAACTACGCTTTATCATTGCCGCCTCTTAAAAAGACGGATGGGAAGAATAGAATAGATAGGGAAACGGTCAACAAGAGAGTGAATAAACCCTAGCGTACGGATAAATCTTCCAATCTTGGGTACGCATTCGATATTTAAATCTGTCGTTGGCCACTCCTCAATAAGCTCTGTCTCAAACTGTATCCCCGGGCACTTTCCAGCTCTTGAGTGCTTCCAGAGCACTTTCAGCATCGTATCGATTCTTTTCTTTAACAACGATTAGCTTCTGCACAAATTGTATGCCCTTGGGTCCCATAGGGGTAAGCCCCCCTTCCAAAATTCCCTTGACCGATTTAACCTGTTGATTGAGTCGAGATTTGTCTATCAACTCGGTGTCGTTGTGAAACAGGCGGTTTTCTTCTCCTACAGCCATCCTGACGATGACGCAACCCAGTGACCAAATATCGGCCTTAAAAGTATACGAATGTCGAGAATAGTGGTTCAGATGACGATTCGGATCTTCTGAATACCATAGCCGTACAACCTCTGGGGCCTTGTAGCCTGCTGTACCGATCCCCTTGGTTACTAGACCCGTAGTCTTCCTGTTAGAAAGTCGCTTTGCGAGACCGAAGTCGGTGATCTTGACTCTGATGTCTGGTTGCTTCGAGACGACAAGAATGTTCTGGGCCCCGATAAGTAAGCCTTTTGTGTACGATATGATAGAACAGCAAAAGGATTACCTGTGGTTTGAGATCTCGATGAGCGATGCCTTCGTGATGCATTATCTGTAACCCCTCCAATATCTGCCTTGTGGTTTCCTTTATGTCCTTCTCGTTCCAACGGCTGTTACCAATGCATTCCTCTAAGTCGCCAAATTCAATATATTCCATCGCAATGAAGAGCCTGTCTGGGTCTTCATTCCACCCGAGGAATTCGACGAAGTGAACTGGCGACAACTAAAAGAGTAAGAGAAGTTGTTATTAGAGAGGAGACATTTTCATCTCTGCAACGTACCTTTGACAAGTGATATGAAGACGTTACTTCAGCAAGGAACCTGTTTCTTGCAGTTTCAACCTCGCCCGTTTTGTAGATCTTTTTTAGTGCAATCGACCCCTGGATTCCATCTATTTCCTTTCTATCAACCTTGAACACCTTTGCACGCCCTTTTCCATTGGACTGTTTGTTATTGGTAAGATCATCCACGATCCTAAGGACTTGGAAATCTATCCTAAATGTTGGTACGCTATGAAACAGTAAATGCAATCTCAACAGAGGGATAGTTCATCACTTACCACTAATACAACTCTCATGTTCTAACACGAAGGCCACTTTTTCGACATCAATAGCTAGTATGCGTTTATCACTTATGGAGAGTCTCTCAATTAGTGACGTCACCCGTTCAAGCATACTGTGGTACTTGTCTGTCGTCCATTTGAAATCTTGTGCCCAACCGCTCTTTTCATTCCAGTGGGTCCACCGGTATAGTCCACGAGAGAAGAATGGCAAGTTGCTAGGGAACGCTACCGAAAGTAGAAGGGATGCTCTGGAAGGTCCAACACCTTTAAGCCCGGCTTGTAGAATGTCCATGGCCGCAACAACTTCTTTGTTAATTCCATACTCTCGAAAGGCTTCCAAAGTGACCCTTCTGACGTTTGCGTTAGAATTCTTTTCGATAAGCTCCCTATTGTGTATATGGGCCTTCTTCGTCAAGGGGGTGCCACGTTTTCTGAAGGGGACGAGATCTATCAGTTTCTTGGAATTATCTTGGGGGTGGATATGCATACTGCATCCATTGGTCTAGGTATACTAAGTCTTCCTTCTCAATATATGGTTCTTGTCGTCCCTTGAGTTTATTGGGTATACCATGAAAGCGCTCGGCTTCCGCACGTTGATATACATCACGGATGTAACTGGGATACCTATCGAGAATTTCTTGAAACTGTTCACGGCTTATATTGTTAGGCAGTAAGGTCTGTAGTGAGCACGGCTGCTGTTCACTCCCGGTCTGCTGTTCGTTCTCAAGTGGTTGTTCATGGCTGAGCTGCTCTTCGTCCTCGGCTTCGTTTGCTGGTGCTCTATACAACCATTGGAAACGAGGAAAGAAGCGAGTAAGTTGACGAAGTTGAAAATAAATCGGGCGGTTGTCTTGTTCCATGTTGGCAAAGGGGGCGTAGTATACGACTAGACACGATTGTAATTCCTTATGGTTACTGTGCCATCGTCCCTGCCTTTGGGGCGGAATTTATATAGTGGCATTTACACTTATATGCGGCTCAGTATAGATAATATACTGCGGCAATCGCGCAGCAAGAGTTGGAATTATACCAGGAAGATGTCAAATAGTTCATTTCTACCTACGTAAGATGACGTGTCGCCTTAGGAAGTCTATGACTACACCTAGCATATAATATTTGCTGGCCCACAAATGAGAACTTTCTGTAAATACTCGTATCTTATTTTTCAACTATATGTGGATGGTGATTAATATGTAGTATTACACCTGAATGCAAGCCTTTGGCACATCAGGTTGCTGTTTCTTATCCTCGATAAAATACGCGTCACAGCGTAGTTGGTTGAGACTGTCGTATTACATGAATGTCAAGGATGATCTCTCAAGCTTCGTGGTTTATTAAGGCTGAAAAGTAGTGTCAATATCACATCCGAGTGATCCATGCCTAGAACAAAAAAGGCTATGCATTCTGATCACGCTGTCGGGTGCTGGTTGGGCTCTGTATTATTGGATTCTATCGCGCCTTTGATGATTAACAAGAGGCTACCACGTTTCATACATTGGTATTACCATCCATATTGCACTCTCATATGGTAAGCGCGATATCCGTCTCAGGTATATTTTCAGAAAATAGCTCATGAGCGAGGTATAGTCCTTTTTTTCGTGAGCGAGCCTGCCTTGCTAATCTAGGTAGCTACTAGAAGCCGACATGATGCATATTGGATTGTAAATTACTGGCGTTGAATCATTAGTTGGAGATGTGACACAAGCTGCAGGCTGCGATCAGGTAGGCACCTGTACTCCTGTGCTGGTTGTAACGCCGCTCTTTACTACCTTACCTGTCATTTATTTTGCCGAGTTTTCCTTATAGTTAATATTTTCCTTTACTATCCAGAGCCCACCCCAGCTGAATATTGAGCAGTTGTTTGGCAACCTGCTAGATTACCTGTCAGCATATTAAGTACCTAGGTAATTGTTATGTCTTCAAATGCGAGAAGGTTACACCAAAATCCAAGTAATTTGATTGGTCTAAAAAAAACCATCTCGCACTTGAGGACATAAATTCCGCTTTTTTAATCCTTTTAACCCCTTTAAATATATTAATCATCATGCAATGCCATTTGAAAATACTTGCATGTGCATATAAGCAAAATTGTTTTCAAGCCAAAATTTTTGATATAAAGTGTTAGTGGTAGTAGGTACACCTTGCGCCTATCGATACGCATATAAGCCACAGAGAGTAGGTACCTAGGTACCTAACCTAGGTAGCCAATTGGCCCGCGATTCCCATATCAGCCACATAGGTACCTAGGTAGTCGGGAGCATCCCAAGACCGAGCTTCAACCAGCTCAATAACTAATCCATTTAATACAAATTTTCTATTAGCGCGGTATTGGCTTATAACTAGAGAGCAGGATGGATGCTATACTGACCTTTTTTTTATTGGTAAATATAGACTATTCTAGAGAATATGAGACTTTTTGTTACTTAGGTACTTATCTAACCTACCAAGGTGGTAGTTTTGATATGACCACTGTAAAAAAAAATCAATATAGGGGGTGGGCCCCTCACCAGGTTCATTTTGCTTTGCTTTTGTCTAGGTACATTGCTATCCCTAAGATAGGTACTCATTTTTTATTCATTCTGTGTCTCTTATCAAAGGACGAGTATTCTATACCGTGCATCCGAACGTCGTCCTAATTGGTTTATGCATGCACGTTCAAGGGCTCGTCGTATTCTTTCTTCTGATCCATCCTAAACCTACGTCAAATATCCTTATACTATGAAATTGTACAGGCCACAATCGACTAGTTGACACAATACATTTGGGGGCGTTGTGGTAGGGTAAGAATAATTTCCGCGTCTACCAAGTACCTAGGTAGGCATAGATTGACATTATGTTACAACGTTTATCGGCAAGGCCGCATGTATTGGTCTGGGTATTCCAGTTTCTACTCCATATAAGTAGGTAGTTATAGACCCTTAAGGGGCCCAATAACCCACCGAACGACAATAATCACACTCCCGCCAGTGCTTCTTAATCTGACACTGCACTCCCAGAGATCATATGTTTTTGTCGGGAGTTTTTGCCTCGTTCTTTAATTGGCTATGGGGAATTTGGGCCAATATGGGGTTGGGTATATTATGTGTGTTTTCAATTTCAATTTTCTTGTGTGGAACATGAGTGCCTGCAATGCTATTGTGTTTTCCTACAAGCCGACATTGTTCTCTTTAGATCTACGCAGTGATTGACCACTGAGGTGCTCGACAATTTGCTTTTGCCTCTTATGGCCAGCCAGACACAGGGCTTCCCGATCACTGGCGCTCAAAGTTTAGATGGGAACACTGTTGGCCATAACGACCAAGTACGAAAGAGACTTTTCATATTCTGTGATGGCACCTGGCAGGATGGTGTTAATAGCAAGCGCCGCTTGACAAATGTTGCTACTCTCGCTCGATGCCTTGAGGGTGTAGCTAACGATAACTACCTCCAAACCGTATACTATGATAACGGAGTTGGAAATGCTACTAGCAGGCCTGCTAAGCTCGTCGATGGAGCAACTGGAAGAGGTGATACTAATGCCTCCTTAGCTATAGCACCGATTGGCTAGCTAACATTGAGTACCTACCTAGGTATATCGACCAAGATTAGGAATGCCTACAGCTTTCTCTCTCATAATTATAACTTCGACCACCAAAACGACGAAATATTCCTTGTCGGATTCTCCCGTGGGGCATTCGCTGTCCAATGCCTGGCTTCGTTCATCAGCCAGACTGGATTGTTCCAGAAACAACACCTATATTACCTACGTGGGATGTTTGCTTTGTGGAAAAATCAATACTTTAAGCGTGTGGGTTCCGGCGAGAGATATCCGGTGAAAGAAAAGCTGGATAATTATGTCAAGAGGTTCCGCAATGAAGAGCTACTGTACGAGGTGCGGATCAAGGCTTGTGTTGTCTGGGACACAGTCAGTGCTCTTGGACTCCCAACTCCGTGGCCGAGACCCCTCTCATTCGTGGGGAAACAAGTCCCCCAGGCCGTTGAAAATGCCTTTCAAGTCCTTGCGCTGGATGAGAACAGAGCACAGTTCAAGCCATGCATATGGGATTCCAAAGAGCGGGAAGAGACATATGCTAAGCAATGCTGGTTCTTGGGTTCTCATGCCGATGTTGGCGGTAACGGAGACGCCGCTCTTGGAGCGGTGACCCTTATATGGATTATCGGGCAGCTCGAAGCGAATACAAATGCAAGCTTCAACAAATTAGAGGTCACTAAACATCTAAAGCACCGATTTCTGGAGTGGGATTTCCATATCAACGAGTTAATTGGACAATTGCAAGAGACCGCAATTTTATCGGAAATGTCAAGCTCAGGCGAGTGGCCCTTGGGTTTACTTGACCCACCCATAAACCACGATGTTCAATGGAGTAACTAATAATTATCCATATATGCCAACAGGCCGTACCACGAAACCACCATGGTATTGGTGGCTTTCAGGATTTGAGCCCCGAGCAGACTATTTAAAGCTCAACCACCACAATCCGGACCTTATGCTAGTCCATTTCACTGTCCGCTTTGCAATGGCCGAAAAGCAAACCAAATGCAAGGCGTTAAAAAAGTGGAAGACGGAGATTCTGGATGATGGGGTTGTATGTTGGAAGTTGCAGGGAAGAGTTCTCGTCGAAGATAGACTTAGCGAAAAGAGTGATAGCAAAGAGTATAAAGAATACAGCATATTCGAGGCATGGCGCGATGGTCGGTTTACGGCAGACGAAACTGACAGGACCGCATTTGCTGCTCACGTTCGAGGTTTAATTCAAGATCCTGCCGAAGAGTTGAGTGGAAACCTCAATTCCTTTGTTCTGTTCCTCAGAAGGAATTTAAAATTTACAGGCTCTTGTCTTGCTCCGAGCAAGATGTACTTGCCCTAGGTACCTAGCTATCATCAGAATCAGCACTTCGGTACGACTACAGTGCCTCTTCAGCTCTGTCCTAAGCTTTACACTAATTAACGCCATAGTATCACCACATTTCAGAAATAGGCCAATGAGTTAGCAAGATGTCAGATACCAGGGGTTACCAAAATGCACTAAAGGAGATGTTTAAATTGTTTAATTTTACGGTCGGGCTTATTCGCCTAAGCCTGGCTTCGTAAAAGAAGACATCTGATCCGTATTAACAGGTATATGACAATATGGATTTGTTTCCTGTGTAAAATATACTGTCACTTCGTTTAAATCCCACTGTCTAGTTCTGCCAACTTGTGGAACCCCTTGCGAATCCTTAGGGCTACGCTTTCATCGAAGCCCGTATCTTTAGCAGCTGCGTTTATTCGTGCCTGGTCGATCTTTGGTATCAGACCCAGTGGTGTAATATTGTAGCCATTAGTGGGCTGGTCTGACGCGAAATGCTGGACCTCTATTTCCATCCCCTCAAAGCCAAAACCCTCCTCATGCCAAGGAGTTTTTGTAATTTTCGGGAGTCCTTTATCCACGTGCTGGTCATAAAGGTAAAGCTTGACTACGATGTTGACGCAGGTAATAGGTATTGATAGAATTCCGAGGTAATAGTCCGAATTCAACACCCATTCATACCACGGTAGCGTATTCGTGTCTAATAATGTTTAGGATAGATCACGAGGCGTCAGTGTTGATAGCTTGACATGATCTAGACCTGGCCTGACCTAGCTTAAGTAGATCGTAAATATTTTGTTTGTTTGTATAGCAATTAAATAAATTGAGGATATACGTATATACTTTTGATATAATATGATTGGTGGCCGCCGGATTCTGGATAGAGTGTCTTATGTGGCTAAGTGTAGCTTTATAAAGGCTCCCAGGCGAGTTCGACAATATGGCTAGCTAAGCCTCAACAGCCAATATACCTAACCTGGTTTGTAGTCGGCCAAGTCTGTACGGTTATTTAGCCCTACTCGGCTCATCGAACTCGCTACAGATAGAAACGGGCATCTTTAATTCGTTTTGCTTATCAAGGCAGGTTTCGGAACACCCTTGTCACTTAGACCAAATGATTAAGTTGATATCATTAGAAGAGTCAATTTTTATGGCTTAGGACTAGGGAAAGCTTTCCTGATGCGCGAGACGGTCTCCAGCGGAAACGCTTTCTCTATGATACACCAGTAACTATCAATTTCCATTCCTGTAGCTCTTGCCCTAGACATAAGTGTCTCAGTAATTATAGCAAGAAGCTCGATGTTGAAGTAGTCGAGGTCGTTTGCTTTGCGTAGAAGGATGTTAAAGAATGCATCCAGACCAGGAATCGGTGATGATTCTCCCTCGCCCAAAGGATTTGACACAAGAGCTCGCATGTTGGCACCCGCACTGATAAAGCTGTTCAAGGCGTGAATAAATTTGGCTTGGTGGAATGAACCAGGAGAAAGGCTAAAAGAGGCAGCAGTGAACCGTAGCCAAGCCACCGTATATCCTGGAGATGTTTGGTGGTAAGTTTTAGCGTTTGGGTCTGCTCCTTGCTTCAGCATCATAGAAATCGATCCGCTTTGAAGATGCCATGCAAGCTGGCTGTTATCTGAGTCAGGGGTCGGGTTTGATGGCAGGGCATGCTCTAAGAGAATCACCCATGCTCTTGGCACTTTAGCCAACTCTCTAGAGTAGTGAATCGCGTTCGTACGGCGGGCTTGCTGCGACAGAAATGAGCCTCCGAGTTCATCCCAACGTGGCCTTAGAGCTGAGGACAATGCTAGGAAGCTAACACGTTCCATATCTGACCCTCGGAAGTCTATGAAGTAGTCAGGGCTTTTTGATAGGATATAACATAGATATTCGTCTAGTCCAGCCTCAACGGCCGGTTCACGGAAGAATAAGTGAACTTGGTTGGATGAATGACCCCATACATTGAATTTGGCCTGGCCCTTTCGGTGCATGTCTGGGATACAATGCTCCAATTCTTCGATATAATCGAAAGTGATTGTGCTCCCCCCAAGCTGCTTCGCATACGCAAGAGCTTCTTTCAGTGTAAACATTAGCTTAGACGGGGTATAAGTAGCGAATTGTTTGCGGTCGATAGACTCGGGAAATTTGGTGCTCTTAATGTAAGCCACGGTGGCTTTCAAGAGGGAAAGGGTGGGATTGAATCCGGGTGGTGACTTTGACTCGAGATACGTAGATGTGTTCTGAGTACGGAGATAATCCATCACTGTCCGGTGCAAGAATTCGACATAACCGCTATTCGGATTGAATTCCAGGAGGCCACGACATCTTCCATTAAGACGACGAGATATTTGTTTCTTCTTAATTTCAATCCTTCGTGCGCTGAGAGACTCTACTGGGAGCTTCAGTGCATAATCTGGATCCTCATCTTCGTCATCGTGGAAACTGTAGACGAGGAATGAAGCAGGTTGTCTCGCCGCCAGAGCTATCCGTAAAGTTGTTGCTAGTTTCTGGTGATAGAAAGGCTCTACCGAATCAAGAATCTGCTTGAAGAATACTTCCAAGTCCGATGGGATATTGTTAAGTCTCCTTCGCATATCCGAGAAACTATCATACTCAGTAAGACCGTTCCGCAATTCCCTCGTAACTAGGCATACCCATAAGAACACACCGGCTGCTCGTTCCGTGATCTTTTCAATTAGCCAATTGGTATCTTCGGCCTCTGCGTCAACTTCTTGCCACCTGGGGTGTTCTTGCAAACGACTTTCAACATACGATCTAATGTCGGGTCTTGTGAAATCGTGCATGTAAAGCTTGCGAGTTTCGTCTCGGCCAAATGAATCTTCGAAGATATTCCAAGGCCGGCTAGACACACATAGCTTTACATAGGGCGACTTAGAGATCTCTCGCAACATTTGGCAAAAGTCGAGATGATCGCCCTCATATTCATCTAGCCCATCCACGAAAAAACAAAACTTCACACCAAGATCGCTTCGGTTGGTAATCCGTTGAAGAACTCGACTAAGCTCTGGTAGGGTCCATGGCTCGTGGTTCATTGCTTCCGCCGATCTGGACCATCGTTCAGTACAGGTAGTCTCGACAAGGTCCGGGAGCTGGCGGAATATATCATATAGTAATGTCTGAAGTAAACCCTGGTAAGACTTCTGCATTGGAGTACCGGCGCTCCAGAAGTAGTGACAAGCTACGATAGCAGGATCGGGATATGCCCATTGGGACAAGGTCTCAATAGTAGTGGGATGGTCGGATATGTATTTCATAAGAGTCGATTTCCCGGAACCCGGCTTTCCAGAGACCCAAAAGATGCCGTCCGGATTTTTGAGCCATCGTATTAAGTTGCCTGAGGCGGATCCCGCTCGGGAATCTCTTGCTTGTGTATTTTCAAACACCCAGCTTAAAGTCTTCTTGTGGGCTTCTTTTATAGAACAGTGTCGTGTAGCTCGGCTATCGAAGCTCAGGCTTGATATAATCATGTGCTCCTTGGCGGCATCTTTCTGCGATATAGATAATTTAGATATTCGAGTTTGAAGCGACGCAATGTCATCCAGCGTGAATAGGCTATCGTAATGTTCTGACTTTATACCCCTTGTACGTAGCTCAATAATCACCTTTGCAATATCGGAAAGTTTTGAAGACTGTTCCGAGCGCATACGATAATTCTCCGTACGTAGGCTATCTAGCTGGCGTTGATGGACTCCTTGCCAGTAACTAACCCCATGGTTAGCTCTACGGCGACCTTCAAGACGAGAGAGTGTTAGACTTTGGCTACTTGGGGGAAGTTGATACCTTGTCATTGCGCAAATATGAAGTATTAGAGTTGCCTGGGTATGATGCAGGCTTTGCTCCAGGTCTGCGATCTTATTGTCCTTCCAAACAGTCTTTAAAGCAAGTTTAAAGCTCTTCCATCGTGTGTGCGTTCCATTTCTGCCTTTGAGCTCTCTCACGGTCTCCAAGAGTCTGTCGCAGTTCAACTTACACGTACTAGCTAAGTCGCTTATTGCCAAGACATGTTGTACGATCTCCCTTTCCTTTACCTCCTCGATTAGGAGGTCCCTTTGGAAAGATGTCTCAAGACTTGAGCTCAAGTTTCGAAGCTGTCCGTAGACAGTATCGAGTGTCTCTATCTCACCGGTGCAGCCCTTTGACGAATTATAGATTTCTCTTGATTTTGAAATCAAGCCCGAAGCGAACCCGATGAATTGTACAATGCTTGCCGAGAGCCCAAATGCCGTGAGTGGATCCATACTCGAGACACTGGCATCCGGGAGGTGGGTTTAACGCTGGACATAAGGAGTATCGACTCTTTAGGTACCTATTTATGAGTTTACGTCCATCTCAGCAAGCTATGGTGTCTTGATCTTGGACAATAATCGCAAATGATGGAGAGTCGAAAGATACATGTATAGTGATAACTTATGCCATTGAAGTACCTCATTGGTTGAAACTAGCCCCATTTCTCCAGCACTTTTTCTCCAGCACTTCCCTAAGCACAGCCCCAACAATAGACCTAGGGTTATGATGTAGCCACTGACAGCGGGGGGGTAGATATTTTCATCAGAAAGCTTTCAAAAATTCTTAATAAATGTCTTTTTTATATATATTTTTTGTTATTAATATACTCCATTCCCTTCACAATAATAGCACCTGGTATATCCAACGGATATAAGATTCACTCAGCTGATAGCATCGCATCATGATGTCTTGACCTTCTCGCTCCTCCTTGCTCTTTAATTTTACGCTCTAGGACATCCAATCCTGATAATTTCTTCTTGGGGCCATCAAAGAACCCAATGGGGAGGAGCGAGGCAAGTCGAACTTGTAACGTGTATTGACCACGCCATACCCAATGAGGCGGATGAGACCGACTAACATCCTTAGCGACCTGGTTTGCCCACTGGATAGGATCGCTGACCTTCTTAGTAGTGGCGTCGTATCCCATGGCTTTCTCAATGGCCTCCTTGGCTATGTTGTATAACGAGGTAGGAGGTAGAATAGCAGTGGGCGCGTTGTCGAAGAAGGTCGACTGCACAAAGCCGGTTATAAGGTTGATCACCTTGACTCCGAAAGGCGCCAGCTCTAGCCGCATGGCTTCAGTAAGGCTTGCGGCGGCGGCCTTGGATGCATTGTAGGCGCCTTGGAAGGGAAGGGCACCGGCTGGCACCGACGCTGCTGATGTATGATTGACTACCATGCCATTCGACTCGATGAGGAGTGGAAGAAAAGCACGAGTCATTCTGATTATTGAAAAGACGTTTAAGTCGAATAGCTCCTGGGCTTTCCCGATATCGATGTCCATCAGGGGTAGAGAATACCCGGCGCCAGCATTGTTGAAGAGAGCATCGAGCGAGCCGCCCGTGAGCTCTTTGACTTTGGCAACGCCATCCGCGATGGAATTTTCGGACAGAACATCGAGTTGTATGGTCTCGATACCAGCGGATTCGGCTTCTTTTAGTTTAGATGGGTTGCGAGCCGATGCGAAAACGCGCCATCCAGTCTTGTGAAAGGCGAGGGCGAGCGCTGAGCCCAAACTGCCATCTGAGCAGCCGGTAATTAGAATAGTTCTTTTTTGTGCCATGGCGACTTGTAATGTTTCTGTATTGTTTCTGTTATTGTTCCTGTATCGTTTCTGTATTTCGCATATCCTAGACGATGTAGCGTCGTAGGCCAAACCTCTTAAGTAATTATTAGAGCATACCTATGTCTATTACAAACCTAAACGGCTATGTAAATTGGTACCTCATCCACTATTATCTTGCCTACCTAATAGGTAGTTTCATGAAGCGGTGGAATACTTGTCCCGGTCTACTAGTCGGAACCTTATAACACAATATCATACAATTCCAGTCTTACTTAACCCTAAGATGGCGGTTAGGCGGTGGCAACACGGGAAATCTTTAAATCAGACTCCGAAATAATGGTTAAAACCGGAGGTGTAATCAAATAACCACGAACGTACGGCTTAATACGGCAACATATTTCATGAAGCAGCGTCATGTAAATCTGTAAGATTTTATCCTGTATGCGCTTGGCGCTCTGTAGAAACCGGTCTTGTACTTCGGCCATAGGTTGCCCGAGACTGTCGAAGCCAATTCACGCCAGTGAGGAATCTGGTCTTGGATAGCTGATCGGCAAATCACAATAAACCTCCCCTCCTAAAATAGATCTTTCGGTTTAGGATCAAAGGACTACTCTAGGCCTTCAAAATCCATCTTAAGTTTTTATATCACTATTTCATCATCTATTAGAATACTCGAATTACAGAACTACCTAAAAGACGTGGCTAATAAATAACCGTTTAAAGTTCATAATGCTGGTTTATATTGAAGATCTATTTCACACATTCGTCCACCTGATCGTAATCTTCTCATATTCCCTAACTCCTGACGAACCTCATGTCTTGCGAGTCACTTGGCAGCGTGACTGATATATCTTTCGCCTCCTTTTGCAGTGTAGAAGTCTCTCGCATAACTCCACTCCCAGGAGCCCAGCCATTCACCTCGTGAGAAAGAAGGGCTATACTAGAGCTCTTCCAGACGGGTAAGTCACTCCTGTAAGTTCTTACAACCATGACCACGAGGAGGAAAATACTTAGCACGATGAGAGTAAGAGGCAATGCAACCCATCCCCATTGGACTTCGATGTAGACCTGAGTACGGAGGGCCTCTCCTGCTATCGGCGTGCTGTTGCGGCTGTTTCGCATGATCTCTGTCATACCTTCAGCAATGCTTCGGACTGTTTGCGCAAGATCTTCAGCTTCTGAGAGTCCCCACCCTAAGTTTGGTGCTGTGGACTGCTGTACGCGGTTCGACGCTCCGAACCCTCTTTCGCCCCATCCGGTAGAAAAGAGCTCGGTGAGGTAGTTTGCTAGATTCGCATAATCTGCTTGGTTGATACGGTACGTGTCTTCCGAAGATGAGCTGGAGTTAACCTTCAGACCTTGGTAAAAAGACAAGCCGGAAATTCCTCCCCCTACAGGTGTAGTTCCATTGGTAGTATTGCCGGTGAGAACCATAAGGTCTTCGGTTGGTGTCGAGATGCTCATTTCTCCATTCGTCACGCTTAGACTGTCGTAAGTCTTAGCGCAAAGGGCGAAAGTACATGTCCAAGCAGTCGGCTGCCGAAGTATCGATGACATGTCGTCGGTATCATAATCAAATGCTGCTTTGAGCTGCACAGCTTCTATGTAGGCCAAGAGCGCATCTGAGCCTGCATCCCCCGGAGTATTGCCAAGCGAAAGGGCAGAAGAATTCCACCTCGTAGGGAAAACATCGCCAGAAGCACCGGCACGGAACATAAAGCCGGATATATTACGTCCCGACGGCATACCGTAGTCACACTGATACTGTCCATGATTTGCTACCGTGGGACCCGGGCAAGTTATATTGACTTGTCGCGTAACATCTGTACAGTCGGCGCAAACCCCAAGTGTGGTAATAGGAGGCCAAGTACAGTTTCCAGTGCTGCAGGTAGCTGAGGGCGGTTGTGGCTGTTCAGAAACTGCCTTGATAATTGCTGCTTGCATCTGTGCGTTGACAGCCGACGCTGTAGTTTGATATTAGTTAACGCTTGAATTTGATATTATATGCCTAAGTGCCTAAGAGAAATAAAGGGGGAAGGGCCGGAAGTCGACAGGACTCTAGTAACTTCATGTCTTAGCAGAAGATACATGCATTGCATCCATTTCTTGACTGTATAGGTAAGGGAGCCAATTACAGTTACCGTTTAACTTCTATAATAGTATAAGTTATAATAAAACTAACTAAATTTACTCACCTGTAGTCCCCGTAAGATGGGCGTCTCTAATATACCCATTCGGATCGTATACTTGCGTTTGATTTAAGAATGCGCTGGCAGTTGAAACCGGCCGGGAAAGAGCAGGAAATTCAAAAACCAATTGTACGAACGGGTCGACGAGCAGTGACACGATGACAACGACCGCAGCCAAGGATGCCAGCAGCGTCTGAACGTTTTTCCTCCACAAGAGCTTGGTAGCCCCTAATGGTCCTCGACTAGCCCCATCGAAGATCTCAAGGTCAATCAGAGGATGTGCCTGACCATGAAAATGCTGCCACTTGAGTTGGCTAAGAACCTCGGCTATAGCGACTAACATGGCGGATTTAGCGATTGCTGCGATGAAGGATACTACAGCTGTCGGGCCTATGCTCCAAGCCCACTGATCTAGGGGTTTGTGGTTCTCGACGGACAGAACAGCTATCACGGATGCGATACTAGCGAGGCTAAGAAAGCATGCGCCGATTTCCCACATCCAGTTCCTAAACAGTCGCCGTCGAGGACCTCTGGTAATGGATTTCTTTTCATTGCCCTCCAGTGCTTCTTCTGCTCCCGAGTCATTCATCGGCTCCATCAGGAGGCTATCATATGCCGAATTCCTGTTACTAGAGCCCGCATTTCGGTTCTCGAAGCTAATATCATGGTAGGAATTATATCTTAATTCTTCTCCTAACCTGTTGGCGGACTCCTGGTTCAACTCGGTTGGCATCGCAGTGTACTGCTCCAGTTGTGGATTTTCTGGGTAGAACTCATTGGTTACGTTGATTTCCTTCTTCATCTCTTCGGTTGTAGGGCGACATAAGTAAGACGCAACTAATCGCGATATGTAAACACGGGCTCTAGATACGTATAGGGCGTTAGCTTTCAAGCTAAAAAAGAAGTCGGTTGAAGAGAGTTGAGGTTTCAATTCAATAATTAATGATTCTATATGTAAACAGCTCTCTTGAATGGCCTTATTGAATCGTCCTACTATTATATGTCAGCTGTGGCACAGCCACCCAGGAGTCATAGCGTACCCGGGTATGTACCCCCTATGGATCCAGTGTACGACCCCCTACTGGGAGGTAGTATCGAGCCTTGCTGTATATTCTTGGCGGTATTTGGAACGTCGCACATGCTGCTTAGCTTGTGACGTGGCCCGAGATAGAAAAACGAGAACCAGAACTGTTGAAAAAGCCTATCAGTATAGATATCTGGGGCCATGTTTATACTATTCATATGCTTTCATAAGATGATTAGTTAAGAGCTAGTTATAGAAATATCAAGAATGGTCTTCATAGTGAATTACTAGGTACCTAATGCACACTAATGGACGATAGAGCGGCCCGTACCGTTAGTGGGTTTTAGCCCCCTAGCCAATCCTATAATGTTACGCAGTCCCATTTCTAGGACCCATAAGACAATTCATTTATATCCGTAGCATGCTTATATCGGGGTTAACTACCTAGGTACTTTATCTTATAAGCTTAGAGGTACATGTAGGTAGATACTGTGATAACTAAGAAATCGAGAAACACCAGCTACCTGGTTGGTACGCTCCCATCTAATAAGCTATATTGACATAAAACTCAACTGCCGTCTAAGTTGACGTCTGTATGACCCCAACGCACACCTCTCTATAGAACCCCCTGCGGCCAATACTAATCGTAATGGCAAGGGTTTTCTCTCGCTATGCTTGCTCTCGAGGTATTAGAGATATAAAAGTATTTAGACTAGGTATACCTATTAGTATCAAGTGATGCACATCATCTTGGTCTGACTCGGATTTAAACTTACCAACAAGCTACTATAGTATATCGGACGAGATAAAGCGGCCCAGGCAGATATAAAATCACATAATTACGCTGCTGGAATCTTGCCTGCTTCATAAGATAGATAATCTTTGCCTTTTTTAACGTAGGACTGACACAGATCATGCTCTAAATCTAAAAGTCGTATATAACACTTTTTGATAGAATTACATAGAAGATTCTTATATAACTGGGAAGTATCCAAGGGTGGTATTGGTGCGTTTTCGTTTTCATTTGTATTGGGGAGATGTGATAGGGAAATGAAGGTCTCGATTAACCTTCCTTTCCAGAAAGCAAGACTACTCCTTAACGGCAATAGGTAAAGTTGTCTTTGGAATTGAAGCTCACTCAGTAAACTTCAAAATATATAGAATAATACCAATCAACTTAGTTAAGAGCATCAGTTAGCTACCCGCCCTAATGTACCTGGGTAGGTAGTTGAGAGTCAGAAGAGTATAACAGAAAGTCGCGGAGGCTTAGGGGGCATGGTTAATATTATGTACGCTGCATCTTTATATATAAGTGAGAAGCCGTATATAGTAATACTATGGCATAGCCTTCTTCGCAGTTATGCATTGAACTAGGTTCATATTAAGCTAGCTTAGCTCTGAAATGAAAAAGAAAAGCTGATAAGTAGGAAGGGCGCAGTTAATGATTATAATGACAAGAATGCTTCTTGAGTACTTAATATGAGAACTCTTACCTTGCAACTACTTGAGAAATGAGTTGCTAGATTACTCCTAGTTATAAAGTTTACCTACTCTTGATTATATAACTCTACGTTGTCACGTCATGAAGCTAGGCCGACTTGGCTACCTCTTTTGATCAAGCTTCTTTGAACGTAATTACTACCTAACCTACGTCTTTCCCCAAAGAGGAAATACCAAGCCCTTAACCTGACAAGACCATTGGACTTTGCACCCCCGTAAATGACTTCGGGTTAATTTTCAATCCGATAATAGTTCAATTTCGCCATGTCCAATATGACTCCATCGTTTCCCTCCACGCCGCTCTTAAGTCTGTATTCCAATAACAACAACAGCAACAACAACACGGCGCTATAGCCGGTCTATATACCTATAAAAAATGATAGCTAATTCTTGGGAAGAGGCTGGATGGAGAGTCGCACAGCGAAGTTGGAAGACGCTCAAGGTGAATTGGCATCTTGGATTCACCTCGTTTGGTGGACCCCCCGTTCATTTTAGGATCGTAGGTTCCTAAAGCTTTCTCCGTCTTCAAACCCGACGAATGGGCTTAATAATTATTATAGTTTCACGATAAGTTCGTGTCCAAACTCACTTGGGTCGATGAACAGGTGGTAAGTTACTGTTCGTTGGTGTTGAACAATATTCTCACACGACCTGCGACTAGAAGCTAATAACATCATCATGTTCTAGTATCAGGAACTTTTTAGCATTTGCCAAGCCCTCTCTGGCCCTGCTAGTACGAAGATGCTCTACTGTGTAAACCTCATTCAGGATGGGGTTTTTGGAGCAATTCTCGCCTTTTTTATCTGGAGGTAGGCTCGAAACTCGCAACATTTATATTATCACCTACCTATGTATGTCTGAACTAAGAACCATGTATTCGTGAATAGTCTGCCCGGGGCGTTAGGCATGTTCGGTCTTTCTATCGGCGTCTCTAGCATTGGAGAAGCTCTTCCTCGAGCAGTATACGCTTTGCTCTCTGGGCTCAACGCTGCTACAGTCGGCATCATTGCCCTGGCGGCTGTCGATCTGTCTAATAAAGCAATCACGGATAAGCTTACTAGAATCCTCGTCTTCTTAACCGCTGCCGCAGGAATGCTGTACAACGCACTATGGTATTTCCCAGTCCTTATGCTTGCTACTGCATGCACTGCTGTCATATATGACTATCGCTGGCTACAAGAACTTTGGCTCGTTACAAGGGGTGCATTCTTGAGAATAAGGAGCCCCACGCATCTAGAAGGGGATACAACTCATAATGAAGGCGACTTGAGAGAAACTAATAGCCCCAGCATGTCTCTCAACAATCAGGATGGGAATAGAACAGAAGACTATTCCGAGCCGCGCATTATTCCGCCAGGATATTTTCTTGATTTTTCATGGAAGTCTGGGACCACCATCATATTGACCTTCTTCATCTCGTTTATCGTCGTTATGGTACTCCGAGGGGCTTTGCCTGATCTACCTGTGCTATACAGACTCTTTGCTAACCTCTACCTCGCTGGTACGATCATTTTCGGCGGTGGGCCGGTTGTGATCCCGCTTCTAAGAGAATACGTGGTAGCGCAGGGTTGGGTTAGTCCTCGTGACTTTCTCATTGGTCTTGCCATCGCGCAGGCCTTTCCGGGTCCAAATTTCAACTTTGCCGTATTCCTAGGTGGCTTAACGGCTATTAACCACGGATATCCTTCCATCACCGGAGCAATCATCGCATTCTGCGGTATTTTCTTCCCTGGGATCGTCCTGGTTCACGGTACAATGGGGATCTGGAGGGTATTGCGGAGTAGGCGCTGGGTAAAATCTGGAGTGAGAGGTATCAACGCTGGCGCCGTTGGGCTGATCTATACGGCTGTATATAGAATCTGGCAGGTGGGTTATATTGATGAAGGTTTCCAGTCTGGGAAGAGTCTTGGTGATGATCCTTGGTGGGTAATTGTAACTGCGACCGCCTATGTTGGGGGCCGTTATTTCGGTGTGGCACCGCCAATTGCTATAGTCCTGGGGGCCGTACTCGGCTTGGTTAGATATGGAGTGGTAAGCGGTCGGGGTCAAGATATTTCTTGATATGCTATGTTAATATGAGGAATGTATGCCTAAACTCGGAGAGGGAATGGGTCGGCCCTCCTGAGCTTATACTTCAGAAGCATTTCGAGGCCACACCGATTCTGTCTAGTAAGGACCAGTCTTAACTTTCATTTCTGGTACTTATCAAGAACTAATATATTGGAGTAAATATCGGGGTAATTATTGCCATAACCTGTGGGGAAAGACTGATTCGCGCCCCTTTGAATCAATCATATATGTACAACTCGAACAAGGCCTCGTCTAGTCAAGTTGCTTCGACAATGCTAGTGAATCCCAATAAAGATAAGAATAAAAATATTTAGACTACTGGCGATTAACTGCTGATAATGAACACTATACGAGGCCTAATTTGATAAACTACCAATTCAAAGAAGGTAGTTCAGTTGAAGCCTTAAGACTCTATTCTCTTTGGCTACATATTGATCAAAATGATATAAGACTAGTAATGTAACAAGATTATTCCCATTATTATTGCGGGCGTATCAAGATCGGGCACCGCTTTAACTTGGCTATTAACCAAGAGTGGCTTTTTAATTGTGCTTTTGTTGACTCCTAACCTCCGATGAATTTCCTGTCCGACCCATGTCTGGCCTGTGGTGAGTTCCTCCCCTTTGGAAATATGTAATGCAGCGGTATTATATAAATAGTGAAAACATGGCCATTTAAATATATGCAGAAATATGATAACAGAAACCGTAATATCGGACTACATATTAACCAGGTTCTATAATTGGCCAGTCAACAAGGCCTCGGTCGCTGTGTTTTGTTAGTGTTTACATTATCATAATGGGGAGAAAGGATGGAGACATACCGCTATTGATGTATAATCGCTTGGAATCAAGAGGAACACCAAACCGCCTCTCTAACTCCTGCTTAATACCCTTCTTAGTTACGGTCATGAGATCTGCTGTACGCAAGATGTCCCGTATTTCTGCCAGCAGCGCATCGTCGCTTGGCATGCCCGCTAGATTGGCCATCTCTACATCGTGCATCTGGTTGCCCAAGAACTGCGAACCGCCAAATTGACTCATTCGGTTTTCAGTTGGGGCGAACGACATACGACTGAGATGGTTAGGATTTTTCAGGTCGTACGGAGGAGCCATGCCAGTAGTGGAACCAGGTCTAGACGGCGCATAATACTCGGCTACACCGACGTTCATTCCCTGCTTGGTGGCATAACTGAAACCGCTGACTTCGGAATGTACATCATCTCCTCGGCTAGTTTGAGCGTCCCATAGCTCAGCCTGGTATTCTTCCCACCGCTTACGCGGGATCGAAGCAGGATCAAATTTGCCCTCATCTGTGACGACAATCTTCTTGCCCTTTTCTCCGGCAACAACACGAGTATTACCCCAGTTGAAGTCATCCATATGCCAGAAGGCATATAAAGGCAGACCAAATGAGAAGACCGGAACAGCCACTATGTACATAAGCATCCATCCGATCATTTCCCACTTGCGACGTAGGATGAAGATGATTGCCTGGAGACCGTATATAGCGCCAAGCATGATGAAGGCCGTTATCGGTATAACACTCTTCGAAGTACTCACTAGAACGATGAGGTATACGATGTATGCTATAACCACAGGCTGGACGACCGTCGACAATAGATCGACGAACACGACAAATCGCATACTGAAGCAGCAGAAACCGCAGAGTTGTGCCATAGGAATGAGTTCCACCAAGTTATGTACTGTTGAGTTGATCCAACGACGACGCTGTGATAGGAAAACTTGCCAGGAGTCCGGTGCGATGGTCCACGCATGAGCGCTGAAGATATACTTGGTCTTATACTTTGAGTGATACTTGAGGAGTAGAGTTGTTAGATAACGATCTTCACCCAAATGAAGCAAGTTCTTCATATGCAGGGTATCGACACGAATTGTTGCGTAATCTTCAACGACTTCGCGACTGACAAAGAGTGGCTTGCCTGTCTCGGCGGCTCGGATACGATACATAGAGAAACAACCGGGCAAACAAGTTACACTGCCGAACAAGCTTTCGAAAGCCTTGATCAAATTATGCGATATGTAGTACTCGTAGACCTGGATCATAGTGATGAATGAGGACTTTGAGTTGGTCAGGGCTGTCTCGCCACAGACAGCGATTAGTCGTGTATCATCTAGGAATGAGGAAACCATGCGCGTCGCCGAGTCAGGCGCAACTACTGTATCGGCATCGATCTGAAGCATAAACTCGTAGAAAGTTGGATTGACACCAATAATGTTCCGGATCTGGTGATACATCTCTAGCTCCAGAGGGCTCATAGGCAGGTTGTAGTGAACGCGGTTGAGGAAACGCATCATGACCATCTGCGAATCTCGCTTACCACGATTTCCGGGACGGGAAACCTCCGATGGCTTACCGACTTTGACGACGACTAAGAAGGGAACAATGTGACCCTGAACCTCATAGAGACCAGAGTACACTTTGCCCATGTTGTGTTGCTTGAGTCCTTCACCGAGAGATTCGAAGCTGAGCGGTTCGGGATCAACTGTCTCAGAAACGCCGAGAATATCGAGGACGATACGAGGGGTTGGCCTATCATTACCCTGACCGATGATCATACCATCGCAGATAACGACAAGCAATTTACGTTTGTCATCATATCGCATACGGGCAGCCGAGTCAATAGCGCGACGTAAAGATTCTTCGTCTTCGGTATATGCGGGGATTTGACACATAACGAACTTATCCAAATTCTCTGGTATATTTTTGCCTCCGAATTGAAGGGCGGCGAGGAACTTGAAGCCAATTATGGAACAGAGTAGGATGGAGACGGCAAGAACAAGGTAATTGGCGAACTGGCACCTGACTGAATTTCGGGTATCAACATCGCCGACGTAGAAGAGATTATCGAGACATAGCTGCATGCGGCTGCGGAGGCCTGCGTCGATATCAAGGGTATTCCATAGCTTGGTCACGTCGGTACCCTTCATTTGCTGGAAGAGATCAACAACAGTATCATCCATGAAATTCACAATTGTAGGGTCGGTTGGAAGATCTTCGCCCTCTCTAACCACGACGTGTCGACCGCCCACGAGATACTTTGTTAGGTCGTACACACGACCATTGAGTATGGCAATTGAATTTTGCTTGCTTCCGAGAGTTGCAACATATTCTGGAGAGTAACCAATCGTACCCTTCTTCCATGGCTTCATCTCTTGCATCTTTTCATAGAACCAGAAAGGTTGAGGCAGAGAGGTGAAGGACCGGAAATCGTGATAATGAGCATTCAAATCTTGGCTGTTGATGACATTTGCCGAGCCAGTAACGTTTGTCGACTTATAGTCCAGTGTTACTGCAGGGTTGACAGTGCCATCCTTGCCCCGGCAAAGAGCCGATACTTGGACAGGGAACAAAGATGTGATATCGAGTCCGGCATACTGCGTCAAGGACTTGGAAGGAAGATATGGTGGGTAATGACTCGGAGCATAACTGCCAATATCGAAGACTTGACCACGGATAGCCGCGTAAGACTCGGCCCCGTCTTGACCGTTATAGGATGTAAGTTCTTCAGAGCTGTAAACGTCTTGCTTGGGACAAACAAGTTGAGGGAAGAGAATGATGAAAAAGGCGGAAACCAAACAGCTGAACCAGATCATCATGTTGATAGCCACCTTTTCACGCCAAGCTTGCCGAACATCCTTGCGAGGCATCCGACCCATCCAGCGGATGAGGAAGTCGGGGATGAACCAAGTTAAGAACATCACAAGGAAGACCCATCGTTTTCGACTGGGGCTGTCTTTGTATTCCTCAACTTCCACGAGTGATTTTTCGTTTCCACGCTCAGCCATCTGTTCTCTGGTGTCCAAATTCTTGAACATGTCACCGGCTCCAAAGGCAGAAACCCCAGCTTCGGAACGCGCATCTACATCTCCTCCACTACCGTAATATCCACCCCGAGGTTTGTCAGTATATGGCTGAGTGTTGCTGGCGATTAATCCCTCTTTCGAGGCGCCAAATGGCAACTCGCCAGGGCTTGATCCATCCCCAGCCTCGGATGCGAACCGGTTCACGGCTGAGGAGCCATCGCCTAATTGCGCAATCTCCATCCAGCAGCGCTCACTCAGGAACACACCCGTAGAACCGATCTGTACTTCATTACTGGGCCATTGCTTATTTTGGACGACGGCTTCAACTTTCTCGCGCTCGCTGCCAACGAGGATCGTCTCGGCATCGGCAAGACCTAGGAACTCACCAAACGGTAAGAACAAGCTGAAGTCGGCCGATCTTAGCCGCTGGCTTATTTCGGCGATACCAAACGTCTGCACTTGCATGCGGACACATTTGCTGTCAAATTGGTTCGCAATTCGTCTATCGTTGGGCTTGAGACAGAATACAAAATAGACGTTGGTATTTGTCGCCGTGATTGCCTGCTTTACATTTTCAAGGGAGGATAAGAATTGGCCAGATGCTCCTTGCTCGGAGTGATGTATGCTGGATTTTCTAGGCTCCCCTTTGTGGTCTCCGGCCTCGCTGACGAGGTCTTCAGGGGATTCCTGTCGGCGGGGCCTCCGAGATCCCATGGTTCGCGTCGTCTTCCTCGACATGACACTCGGGGCACGCATGGGCTTAGAGCTGACCGACGCCTGCATGACCGTAGTCTTCTCTTGAGGATGCATAACGGTCTGAAGAGCCTCTTGACCGAAAAGGCGAGTAACAAATTCACTCTTACTTGACTTAATCAAGTTCATCACGTCACTGGATATGACTTCGCCATTCTCCTCAACTAGCCCTTTGATTGGGTAGTCAACTTCACCAGCAAAGTGTTTGACTGTGAAGGCCGCTGCAGTATTTTCTGAAAGGAAGTTGCTTCCGGGTAGCCTAGCCGTTGCGGAGCCCACGTTAATTGCTGGATTCTTACCCTCAAATCGCCGCCTCAAGCTTTCTAGAAGTTGCATATCTGTACGATGTCGTCGAGTTTGGTCATCCAATATGCTGAGTAGACCATTTCCAGGCTTGAGAAGCCCCTTAACAGCATCCGAGTTATCGAAATAGCTTGTAGCGGGGACTACAACCTCTTCGGTGTCTAACATATCTGCCTTACGGTCGAAAAAGTTTTGAAGAGTTAGATTGTAAAGCGATTCAACCGCAGCGTTGTTAAGGAGTTGGTCGAGGGCAGATCCAGTCGAAGACTGCTGAGAAAAGCCAGGAAAATCAATGATGCTAATGGTATTCGCGATAGACTCTTCAGCAGCGCATATCTTCTGGTTGATGTTCTCAATGACATAAGCGACCAGGAGAGAATACAAAGTCCTAGCCAATTCGTCGGCATTGGCACGGGCACCCTTAGGGTCTAACAT